CCCACCCTCCATCCATCCATCCATCCATCCATCCATCCATCCATCCATCCATCCATCCATCCATCCATCCATCCATCCATCCATCCATCCATCCATCCATCCATCCATCTATCCATCATCTTTACCCGCTTCTTCCTTTTTGGGTCGCAGGGGTCACTGGTGCCCATGTCCATCTGTCACTGTGCGAGAGGCGGGGGACACCCTGGACAGATCTCAGTCCATCACAGGGACATAGAGACAAACGAGACAACACTCTCACTCACACCTAGAGACAATTTAGAGTTACCAATCAGCCTAACATGCATGTTTTTGGTCTGTGGGAGGAAACTGGAGTACCCGGGGAAAACCCACGCATTCATGGAGAAAACATGCAAACTCCACCCAGGAAGACCCTGGGCTGGCGACCTTCTCGCTGAGAGGCAACAGCTCTACCAACTGAGACACCATGCCGCCCTTTTGAAAATCATATTTCATATATTATGTCTCGGTCTTAACTGGATGGTGTTGTCCAACAGATTTGTAAAGCTGAAAAGGAGCTCATGGAATTGGACAACGAAGTTGAAAAAACTAAAGAGAGAAAGCAATCGATGACTGAACACATGAAAAGTGCTAAACAAGAGCTGAAGTACGCTGAGGTGAGGATGTTAGAACATTACTGCATACCAGACAAGTCTGGGTCTTTTAGTCAATTTGATTTCTTGTAGGCTCTGCTGAAGACAAAGGAACAAGAGGTGGAGTTGGAGCATCACCTGACTGCCCTTGCCCAGAGGGAGTCGGGCCGTCTGGCTCAGCAGTCAGCCATGATTCAGAAAGAACTCAGGTTTTTAAAGGAACAGAGAGAGGGGATAGAGGTCTGTACTTAAGAGGAGAAAACATATCAGCTTACAGCAATTTGTGCCAAAATGCACTTCTTAACTTTTTCAATTATTATTGTTTTTTTCAGAAAGCCTTGTTTACAACAAATGAGAAACTTGAGGAGTTTAAGCATCAGATGAACTGGGACCAGCAGACGTTGGATGCCTTCTTGGAGGAGTCGACTCTCAAAGAGGAAGACACGATGGCCATCATCAAGTACGCTCAACAAGATGAGCAAAGAATCAAAGTAAACAAAAAAATCTGATTATTTTACCTACAACTTTTAACATTATTTTAAAAATGCTATATGTTTTATATACAGTTTGTTTATTTTAGAAGATACAGTATAAGTGATGCTCAGTTTTCATTTTTTAATACCTATATGTTTTAGCTAATTCCTTACTGTGGACACCATGTACTGTGCATCAATCTAAACTTTATTCAGTTTTTTTGATTACAAAAATATCAAAACATCTCCCATCACTTCAACAAAGTTCATGCTCAATCATCCAGGTATCAAATCCAATAATCTCCCATCACTTCTTTTGAGGATTAGCTTTTGCTGAGTTTCTTAAATGCATCTTATATTAGAACTAGAGAAAATGCAGTGTAAATGCTTATTGCTGAAGAACTTGATGAAAACAGCTGATTAGCTAAAACATGCTGAAATGTAGCTGAAAAGGAAGAACAAGCCTAAGCTAGCAGAAGAAAGCAAAAAGAACACATGTTTTCTGCATTAAATTTAAATAAGCAGAAATGGACACAAAAATTAGTAAATTGGTTTTAAAAGTTGAAATTAGCAGCAAAAAAAAAAATAGCTGAGAAGGTAGAAGCTTAACTTATCACAAGGAATTGGAGAGAGCACAATTTTGCCCAATTAGGCTGAAAGAAGCAGAAATGAGCACAAAAGTGGAAATGAACTGAAACCCCGCCCCCTACCAGAAATTAGAAGAAAAAAAAAAAAAAAAAAAAAAAAAACCAGCTGAAAAGCTTTAAAAAAAGAAAAGAAAAGAAATAAGCTTAAATTACCAGAAGGAAGTGAAGAGAGCACATTTTTGCTGAATTGGGCTGAGAAAAGTAAAATTTTAAAACAAGCCCAAAAAATGTGGAATTAACTGAAAAAGTTAAAACAAGCATAAAAAAACTAAATAGAAGCAGAAATAGCAGAAATGGTTAAAACTTGCATAAATAAGCTGAAAGGAGCATAACAAGCTGAAATTAGCAGAAAGATGTTAGAAGACGCATAAAAATATTGTAGTTAGAAGAAAGAATATCAGAGGATCATAACTGTGGAAGAACAGCTGAAAGTAGCTAAAAAAATACATTTGCACAAGGAAGCTGAAAGAAACTGAACCAGAACAAAATGTGAAAGGAGCAGTAAAAGGTTGTAAACAGATCTAAAGATGTGAAGGATGGAAAATGAGCTCAATTCATTTTCTATGAGAAAAAAACGTGGCAGAAAAGGCTAAATATTTCAAAAAGCTAAAGTTGCACCAATACCAAAAGTCATAGCAGGATTGTCCTGAAAGAGCTGAACATTTTGAAATATGATTTGTTGAAATAGCACAATAGTGTGGAATGAGAAAGATGCTGAAAAACATACAGAAGAAAAATGGATCACAATGGTGTGAATGTTTCATAAACATTCACGCAATGAGAAGATCAGCTAGGCACTGTGCTACATTCATTTTTTTTGTCAAGCCCAGGTTTTGAATTAAAAAAAAAAATTTGTAGCACCTAAATATGTATACTGTGCTCAGTTTTATTCATAACATTTTCTAGTAAAAGTTGTCGTGTACACAGCCTAATCTGTGTCAGGAGTGATTTCTCAGTTTCTACATTTCTTTTAGGGTTTTATTCTTTATTTCACCCCTGAACCTCTTCTGGGTTTTAAAGAAGTGCCTAAATATCTCACTGGACTGTGACTGTTGGCAACAAACTGCGAACAGCATTCGCGAGGGGTTTTCAAAATGTCTCAAAAGGTTCTTTAGGATTCTTAATTTTCTCATGTACTGAAAGGTGCAGTGTCTTACTCCCACTTCGTTGGAACTTTGAACATGTTCGACAAAATGTGCCAGACAAATTGCCTCTTACAGTGAATAGCCACAGACATGTTGGGCATCTGTATGTAACCCTTCTGGTATTCTTCTCAGTTTAGTTTCTGTGATTCAGAAAGTGTAAGAAATGTGAGACAGTGGTGCTGTTGGAGGAGCTGGTGGTCTAACTAAAGGAGACAACCCCTCATCCCTGAGTAGGACATTTTTTAGGACAGGTGCAAACTAATAAATATACTTTCTTACTAAACTGAGATGAAAAGCTTGCACAAAACAGAAGTGTCTCATAAGTACCAATTCAGTGTGATTCCAAGTGAAATTTTGCTTATTTTCTTGCAATTTTGTGCCTCCATCTAGTCAAGTTCAAGAATCTTCATGATGTCCAAGAGGCAATTTCTTTCACAGTCAGTAGAGATATAAAATATCCTTACTAGAGAAGACATTGAGACATTACAGTAACAGTATAGGAATCATCAGTGTTCGTTGAGAAGACTGATGGCTGCAGGAATGAATGAGTTTTTCAGTCTGTTCGTCCTATATCTGGGCAGCAGATACCCATGTCCAGATAGATTAAACCTGAACTCACCATGGAGTGGGTGATCAGGATTTGCCAGAATCTGCCTGGCCTTGGTCACTGACCTCGCTTTGTGTAGGTCAATGAGGTTTTGTAGGACTATGCCAGCAGTTTTGATATCTTCCTGACAATCCCAGAGAGTTTGAGTTAGAGTCACTAACAGTCACAACCCAGTGAGATACTACCCTAATATGAAGATATGCATCCAAGTACTATGGAACCGGTTTTAAAAGTTGAACATTTTAATGACCTTTGTGAGGGAAAGGGTCAAAACTATAACTTACAAAACAGTTTCCAGGTTTGACCCTTTCTCAGTTAATAACTTTCTAATGTGCCCTTGTGCAGTCCCTCACTCTGGATATTGAGAGGAAGACAGTGGAGGCCAATGAAAAGCACAAGACACTTGAGAAAGAGGTGACAGAGACGAGATCTGCACAGGTAATGTAAAATACCCAGCACATCTTTGGCATCTGTCCAAACATGACATGGCATTACAGATTTTAAACAGAACACCATGCAGGGTGTTTAAAACATACATTTAAAACTTTGTCCTAACCAAGGGCCAATCGTAGTCACTAACATCTTGTGCCTCAAGAGCTCACCATATTAAAACATACTCATATTTTGAAGACTTTTTTGTGATGCACAATCCAGCTGCTGTCATCGTGACTTCTTCTGACAAAATTATAATTGTAGTTACCCTTAATGTTTTTAAATAAGTTGTGTGAGAGCAGTTCAGATATGCCAAGCACAATATCCCTGGCTCACATTTGGCTGAACAGATCGCATTATAACCGCCCACAAGTGTACAGTACAGTACACAACAACTACAAACTACAAATACCAGAATGCACTGGAACAGTCAGCTTGGTCACATCACTCAAGCCTTGTGAGCCCAGTTATACCCACGTCTCTGTTATTTAGCCTTCTGCTAAACCTGCAGCTGCATGGTGACAGCAGAGTGTTCACCTTTGTTTACCTGATTAAAAAACAGAACATAGTTCTGAGTTCACGTGGTGATCTGCCTGTTTTGAAGCTGAGGAAATTGAGTTTGAACCATTTCTTCACTTGTATTAATTGAAAAGAAAGACGACAATTCAAACTTGCAAGTGATGTGTTGACATAAAACACACGATCATGGGAAATAAGCTGCTTATTGATCTCCGTGCTCCTCAGAATATATCATTTTGTAAGAAACTTCTTATGTAATGAAAATAATCACAACTTCTCACAGGTGTTTCACTCGAACATACACTTCAACCAATCGGTGCTGAGAACGTCAGCACTCAGACTTCAAACACAGATCAACTGACAGCATGACGAGAGGCAGGCTGTAGTTTATGTCAGAGGTATAAAATGTCTGATGGGATTTATATTCATTCATATCGTCTTTTTGTGTTTCTTCAGGATATATATATATATATATATAGTGTTGTTTTAAAGACCTTTGGTAAAATGTTTGGTAAAATTAGGCAGATTTTGAGCAGTGGCAGGACTTTGGACTGGAAAGTTACAGGTTCAATTCCCCACCATGTCTGTATGTCATATTTCCTAACTGCTGCTCGGGAGCTTACATAGCTGCCCGCTGCTCCACTTGGGTGTATCTCACGTGAGATGGGTTAATTGCAGAAAACAAGTTTTATCGTTGCAATGATTATGATGTCAATACATAACACTTTCACTTTCATGTTTTCATAAAAAGTAGCTAAAACCACCCCCACAAAGTAAATAAGGATGGGAAGCATAAAGAAAAACAAGTCATTAGTTACACATTTTCCAGGAATCTGTTTGGACAGATAAATAGAATTATTTGAGTAAAGTTCTTATTTCTGTGTGTAAATTTGTAACTTGGCAAATTTATTTATTGTTTAAAAATAATTTGATCGGGGTTGACCCTTAAGCAGTTTGACCCCCTGAATTCCTTAGACAACTTTTACTAATTGGCTTTCGTACAGTGCCCTGAGACGACTTCTGTTGTGATTTGGCACTGTATAAATAAACTGAATTTAATTCATAGGTCACGCAGCTTTAACAAGAAGTTCAAAGGTCGTAGCTGAAGCTCCGTTCTAAGATCTGAGACGAGAGAAACCAGCCGAGAGACAAATCATAAGAGTTTGTGGTAACACCTCAGAGTGCTTTATAAAACACTTTGATCCAGCATATAGTTCATTTTTATTTCTTTTTTAAAATGCATTAAAATCTTGTCCTTTTTTGTTCTCATCAATCTTTTCTTTGATATTAAAAAAAAAATGCTTACACCAAACAACTTTCATACTTGATCTTAAGACAGTGTTCAAGAATAAAATATCTTCCAATCCATGTGTTTCAGTCTTAGTTTATTTATTATGTTATAATGCATTGTGCATTGTTCATTATATATAGTTTGTCAGAGTGATAGAGTCTCTGGAAGAAGACCCAATAGATGCTCACCGCATTAGGATGGATGCGCCAGGTCATGTGACAGTTCTCTGTAAAACACTGTTTTTCTAACAGATGGGTTTGGATAAGACGACAGAGATCTCGCAGCAGGTTCATTTAGAAATCCAGCAGCTCATTCGTCAGTGGGGAAATTCTATCAAGCAGATGAAGCAGCAGGACTCTGAGATGCATCAGTGTGCACTGGTAACGTTTCAGACCTCGAGCTTCAAATCAAACCTGACAGAATGTACACACTGTCAAACTTGAGCAAACCCCATTTAGTTTCTTTATCTTTGCAGCAACTTGCTCAGGCTAACCAGAAGATCAGGGAAAACAAAGCCACCGTCTCAGAGAGCAAGAATTTACTGGATATTCAGAAGAACAACAACAAGGAAATTGAAAGGAAAATCACTGTAGCAAAGACGCAGTCAGCAAAACTACGACAGGATCTAAAGGAGCAGGAGACTAACTTCATCAGGCTGCAGGATGAGGTCAGTATCTCAAACTGTACAGAACGAGACCACAGATAAACTTGTTTGGTATTAAACGCCTCTGATTCTCACGTGTCCTTGCAGCTGAATAGCTACACACACGCCCTGAACAGATCGAGCTCTGATGTGAAGTCTCTGATGTCCAGTATTTCCAGGACAAAGAAAGAGCTTCTGGACAACAATGAAAAGTCGGTGAAATACTAACATGCTTTTATATAAATCATCAGTGCTGTACAAACTCTGCTGGTGTGTGTGTGTGTGTTAGACTAAAGAAGGCCAGGGTCCACAACGCTGCACTGGAGGAGAAGCTACAAGCTGTGACTCAGTCTGCTCTGAGCGAGGAGGAGAGAGCTGCTCAGATGGAGGAGTTCCTGAAAGAGACAGAGCAGGCCATCAAGGTGAGGAGCCTGATTTACCAGCTTTGCTTTACTATTCAGCTGAGTGAAAGATGTTGCTGTGATTTTTGTCTTTAACATTTATCAGAATAGCAACAATTTTTATGCCACTTTTTTAAAATAACATTGAGACTGAAGAAGTTGTTCAAATATCTTTGAGTATTGTCCAGACATTGCATATTTTCCACAATCCAAACCAAACTAGATCAATTGCATTTGCTGTGGAAATGCAGTGTGAATGCTTATTGCAGAAGAAGTTGCTGATTAACAGCTGAAATTAGCTAAAAAAACAAACAAAAAAACAACAAAGAACTGAAATGTAGTTGAAATGGAAGAACAAGTCCAAATTAGCAGAAGAAAGCAGAATAAACACATTTTTGCTGAATTAGGTTAAATTAGAATAAATTAGCACAAACATTAGGAAATTAACAAAAAAAAAGGCTTAAATTAGCAAAAAGTTGCTGAAAAGAAGCTGAAAAGTCAGAAAGAAGCTTAAACTACCAGAAGGATGCAAAAAAGTGCTGAAATGAGCTAAAAAAATGTGGAATTAGCTGGAAAAAAACTAAAATTAGCATAAAGAATAGCTAAATATTAGTTGAAATTGTAGAAAAACCTAAAACTAGCAGGAAAAAAGCTGAAAGGAGCATAACAAGCTGAAATGCTTCATAAACATTCACACTATTAGCATAAACTCTGGGATACTTGATGTTTTCTCTTGTGCTCAGAGAAACAGTGTTGTGCTGTCATTGTGTCACCCTGTTCTTATGCTTTTTTTTATAGGAGTTAACTGTTCTGCAGCAGAGCCTCATGGGGGAGCTGCTAGGTCACAGACAGCAGCAACAGCTCCTCCAGGCAAAGGAAAAAGAGAGTATCATGCAGGTTTCCAGGAGTAAATCCACTATTAGTGGCCTGCAAAGCCAACTCAGAAAGCTGGAGAAAGCACTGAGCAAACAGCAGAGGACCATGAAAGCCCAGGCATGTCTTCTAACAATACCACAGTACAGATGTTTCATACTGTCAAGCATTCAGCCCTGTTTCTTTATTTATTTAGATTATTTTCTCACTTTCCTGCATCGTGTAGGACACTGAGATAAACAAGCTCAATATAAAACTAGAGTGGCTGCAGGGGGACATTCACTCAGAAGAGAGACAAATGTTGGAGTTAAAGATTGCTGAGCTGCACAAAGATCTGGAGGAAAAGGAAAAGGCAGACAAGAAGCTCAGCAACGTCCTCAAAGAATGTGAGGTCTGTCCAAACTGCTGCCACATTATTCAGCATTTCCCTCCTCAGACAGTGAAATGTAGTCATTTTTATCACATGTTTCTCCTGCAGGATGGTATTCGTCATTTGAGGAAAGAGATGGAAAAGTCAGAGGCTCAGAAGAATGATCTGAGCGAGGAAGTAAAAAAGCTTGAGCTTGTTTGTGAGGGCAGTGAGAAGGAGCTGAAGAGTGTCAGTCTGAAGAGACAGGTAACTGATGCCATTAAAAGGTAACCTGACACACACAGACCAGTTCAGGTTTGTACATTTTATCAGGGCTCACTTTTGTCCTTATTGTCTGTCTGCATGAAGTTCTCAGATACAAGTTTTTAGAGGTATAGCTCACATTCATTGACAAAAGCTGTCTGACAGTTCTAGCAGTACAACAGTCTGGTGTTTTCTGTGGCTCATATGATGCTCCTAAAACTTGGCTAGAGTCTGTAATATGTAACTACTGTAAGTTTACTGAATGTAGGTCAGAGAGCCACATCAATCTTCAAAATTCCTTACTGTTTACTTTTTACTTTTTGTTTTTTTACAAGCACTAATGTAGCATGGTGTTGCAACTGGTAGAGCTGCTGCCTCTCAGCGAGAAGGTTGCCAGTTCAAATCCCGGTCCAGGGGCCTTTCTGGGCCGAGTTTGCATGTTCTCTCTGTGCATGTGTGGGTTTTCTCTGAGTACTCAGGTTTCCTCCCACAGACCAAAAACATGCATGTTAGGCTGATTGGTAACTCTTAAATTGTCCCTGTGAGTGAGAAAGTGAATGGTTGTCTGTCTCGTTTGTCTCTATGTGTCCCTGTGATGGACTTGCGACCTGTCCAGGGTGTACCCTGCCCCTCGCACTGTGATTGTTGGACATGGGCACCGGCGACCCCTGTGACCCAAAATGGAAGAAGCGGGTAAAAGATAATGGATGGATGGAAGCGAAGCACTTACTGTGCATGGCATGTTGTTAATCGGGGAACACTCAAGGAAAATCTCACGGACGTAGAAAGGGAACCACACAAAGACCAGACAACGCCTAGACAATAAGCAGCACAAAGACACAGACTTATATACACACAGAGTAACCAGACACAATCACACACACCTGGACAGGACACGTAGGTGGAAACAGTCAGGACAATTAACATGGAAACCAGGGGGTGTAGGGATGGGAACCAGCCACCAGAGGGTACCATCCCTACAACTAACTAGTTTGTAAATCTCCTGATGCATGCTCAATAATCCAGGTAGAAAAATCTAAAAAAGTTAAATCTGGTCCTCTGGACATTAAAAAAAAAAAACAAAGCAAAACAACAAAAAAATGTAGCTACGTTTCGTCTTTCATCCGAAGACTTCCTCAGTCTGAGGTGCTGTATTCAGCTCAGTCTCTTCAAAAATCAATCAATCAAAAATTACCTGGATTCATTTAACAGCTTACCTCTACATCAATCTGGTTTCAGGAAACAACACAGCACGACTGCTTCACTGAAGGTTCTTAATGACGTTGTTGAAGCACTGGATGCAAAGGATTTTTGTGCTGCACTTTTCTTAGACCTGTCTAAAGCTTTTGATACTGTGGATCATAACATCTTGTGTCATAAGCTCTCAGAAATCGGTTTCTCAGAACACACCATTGGTTGGTTCACTAACTATCTTTCAGATCGGAGGCAATGTGTTCAACATAATGGTACTTCCTCCAGTTATTTAACAGTCAACAATGGTGTACCACAAGGCTCAGTCTTAGGGCCCACCCTCTTTACAATCTACATACATGTAGTTAATGTAGGTCAGACCATCTTTGATGCATCCATACATTTCTATGCTGATGACACAGTTGTTTATTGTCGAGCTAAAACAGTTGATAAGGCTTTCCAGCTTTTGCAATCTGCATTTGACATCATCCAGTCAGATTTGTTCCGTCTCAAACTTGTCCTAAGTGCCGATAAAACCAAAGGGATGCTTTTTTCAAACAGGAGGTCGGTCCCAGCAGTTCTTTCTCTGATTTTTTCGTCAAATGGTGTCCCCATTGAGTTTGTTGATTCCTATAAATATTTGGGTATCTTGGTTGACTCTCATCTCTCTTTTAAGCTCCACGTGGAAAACCTAGTAAAGAAACTGAAAGTTAAACTGGATTTTATTTTTTTTTTTCAGAACCAGATCCTGTCTAACTCTGAATGTTAGGAAACACCTTGTAACTGTGACTTTCCTTCCCTCCATTGATTACGGTGACATTATTTACATGAACGCTCCAACGAGCACTCTGCAGATGTTGGATGCTGTCTATCATGGTGCACTAAGATTCATAACTGGCTGTGATTATCGTACCCACCACTGTACCCTGTATTCACTGGTTAACTGGACATCATTAACTTGACACAGACTCTCTCACTGGTACATTTTCATCTTTAAATCACTTCTTGGTCTGTTGCCTTCATACATCTCCTCCTACATGTCACTTTGTCAGTGCAGCTACAGCGTGCGCTCTCAGGACATTATTACCTGCAGTGTTCCCTCATTGAGGACTGAACTTGGCAAAAGGACCTTCTTCTACTCCGCTCCTGTTTCCTGGAATATCTTACAAAAAGATCTGAAGCTCTCGACCTTGACCTCTCTAAATGGCTGTAAAAATCTGTTGGACTCCTGGCAAGGATCATTGCAGACATGTTCCTGTTTTTAGTTTTCTACATTTGCCTTATAATCTAGATGTTTTTGCTACTTTTTTTGACATCTTATTTTAATTTGTAAAAAAAAAAAAAAATCTTTGTATGCCTCTTTTATGATTGTCTATTGTTTTTTTGGGAGCATCAGTGTCAAAATTTTATCTTCAGCTGTGAAATTTGAGTTAAGAAGAATGTCCATTGTCCAACTATCTGCTGAAGTTGGCTACTGATGATCTGAGTAAAAGTCCACCTTTTTTGTCCATGACATAAACATGTTGCAGTCCCAGAAAAATAAACACTTTGCTTTTAGTTTTCAACAGTCACTGTTGTTTATGTCACATATTTCTTGTCAGGACAATATGGTGGAGCAGAAAATCACCCTGCTGGGCGTGAAGCGTGTACGAGACCTCCTGTACAACAAAACAGACAGTGTGCTGTCTTTGGAAAAGAGGAAGTCCGAGCTGCAGACTGCCATGAAAGAGAGAGAGAAAGAGATCAAGGACTACATCAAAATGCTCAGCCAGCAGCTCAAAAGCACTGAGCAGGAAAAACAAAAACTCAGGTGATGCTGCAGCATTCAGCACTGCTCTCAGCTGTTGTCATCTTGAAAGAGAACCATCTATAACACGTTAGCATAGAACACTTTCTAGAGAAATGATCAGCTAATTTAGCCTTTGATTCTGTCAGTGCTGAACTGCATAAACAACTGATGAAGATTGACAAAATGAAGAGTCGTTTTGAGGTCATGGTTCTTCAGATGGCTGTGCCTGAGGGGGAAGAGGAGAAGTCTCAGGCCTACTACATCACTAAGGTCAGAGGTCCTCCCACATGTTGTGGCTACACAAACTCACACTGTTCTGTTTCAACCATGGCTGTGTGCTCTTCATTAGGCTGCCATGGAAAAAGAGGAGCTCAAGCGGAAAGGAGATGATATAGATGCCAAAGTCCGCAAGATGGAACTGGAAACCAAAGCTCTGGAGAACACTGTCCTGTTGTTCAACTGCGGGTTAAACTCATTTCGCAGCTCTCTTGGCAAAAATAAAGAGTCCAGTACGTCTGACAGTGAAAAACAAAAGACAGCACTGTAGTTTGGAGCAAACGGTTAAAAGTTGTGTTTCTGCTGCATGAGCTGGTCATTAATGTAAACCTGATGTTGGCTGTGTTTAAGCTCCTGAGTACCAGAAAAAACTGAAGCTGGAGGAACAGCTGAGGGCCTCAGAGAAGATGCTGAAGTACAAAAAACAACAAGTCCAAGATCTGCAACAAGACCTGCAGGTTATTGTTATGGAAAGCCTCTGAGAGGAGACGTACTTAGGAAAAACTATGACTGTATTCTGTCGTGGGAAAAGGGTAGTTTGCATTTTGTCTTAAAGATGATGTCACTGTGAAATCATAATCTGCAAAACAACAAGGAAATGGTGCAACGTAACAGTTCAAGCTATGAAAGTTTTGAAGCTTAAAGTTGATAGAAGGTGCCAAAATCTGGTTCGTAGGTGGATCCACTCAGATCAGACCTGAAGCTCGTCAATATACAATAGTTTGAGCAGACTTGAAGCAAATTTTGACATCTTAAAACATCTCATATCTTTAGAGTTTTAAAGCATTTCAAGCAAAATCAATTATTTGAACTTTGACATTGCCATCAGTTTTTCATTACACAGCTTTATTTTTTTGGGGGGTGCAGAAATATATTTCTGTCAGATTCAACTGTACCAGTTCAGTCAAAATTGTACAAAATTCTATGTAACTAACTGTGCATTGCGAAACTGATGGCAATAAAAACATTTATGAAATAGCATATGCATCTCTTTGAAATTAGTGGATTTAATCTGTTTCAAGTTTGGACTCAGCTGCACGCAGACTAGCTGTAAGCTCTGCAGCCCTGTCAGAAATGAACTCCACTTCTTCTAACTGACCTCATCTTCAAAGTTATCTACAAGTAAATTAATGTTCTTTACTTTTCCAAAGAATCACACACTTCAAAATATACAAAATATTTTATTCTATTCTATATTCTATTCTATTGAGTCCACTCTTATCTGGTCAAATCTGAACAATCAGGAAGAAAACCGCGTTTAACTTTTGTTTCATTTTACTTTTTCAAGGTGACGTGAAGAAATCGAAGATTTATTTACCTACAAAAAAACACTTTTCGTCTTTGTGCTGTTACCTTCATCTCTCATTTCTTGTCTCATAAAGTAGCTTGTTAAAATATGTTGGTGAGCTTTACTGTTTAGTGAAAATAATAAAATAAGTGTCTCTGTCGTTCATCACAAACTGATCTGTGTGTATTATTGTGATGTGTGTGTGCTGCTCTTCATTTCCAGGAGCTGACCGCTTCTCTGGAGACTCTGATGCAAGAAGAAAAGGCAGAGAAAGAGAAGATCCATCACAAACAGACCCTCACTGGTAAACTGAACAAAGACATTGCTTCCCTGCAGGAGAAAATTGGCAGAGCCACAAAGCAGGTTTGATGTGCAGTTTATTCATCTTAAATAAAAACATTTCACAAGACGGGCAACGTAAGACGTCATACAGTTAAGATTTCCAGTTAATTTGGTGTTATCCTATTTGCTAGTGCTCTAAACTGACCAAAGAGATCCGCTCAGCGAAGAACACTAAAACTGAGACTCTTGAGGAGCAGGACGTCAAACTGAAGGAGTTAAAGGAGTTTAACAAAAATATCAACAAGATGCTGAATGAAGCCGTTAAGGACAATTCTGAACTCCGATTAGTGCTGGACAAATACCTCCTGCAGGTCCACAAACGCACTGTTTTTGGAGGATGATGACTACTGTGCATGCAGGTGTAGCGTATTACCGCTTAACTTCAACATTTCTTTCTGTTTCTCTCAGGCCAACCTGCATCTTCCAGCTCCTTCCTCCATCGTCAGCAGCCAGCGAAGCTCTCGGATGAACGTTTCCCGCGACTCTGCCTCCTTCAGGTCTCCATTCATTCAGTCCAAACAAAACCTCTGACTCATAGAGAGGTTCAGTCCATGTTAGAGACAGAAAAGGGGTTGTATTATTGGTATAAACTGAAAAATGTACATGGAGAATAAGACTGAGTCACACTGAATGCTGAATGTTTTTTGTTTTTTGTGCTAAAGATAATAGTTTTTTTCTAAGTAAAAGAATGGATTAACATATTAAACCTTCTTTGGTAAAGCTTGGACCCTGCATATAGTCTGCTTTCTGTTCTGCAGGTCCTCAGCTGGCAGCAGCCCTGGAGGATCTGCACAGTCTTCCTCACAGCTGAGGAAGATCAACCTGAAGTTGGATCTGACCGGTGCCTCTCCTCCTCCCGTCTCCTCCAGAGCTTCTACCTCTGCAAGCAGCAGCAGCAGCAGCAGGTCAAAGCACTAAGTTTCATAACATGCTGGAGTATATGAAACAGTAACATCTGGATAGGAAAATATCCAGGTGTTCTGTTTCAACATGTCAGTAATTTTAGCAATATTCTTAAATTAACATTTTAATTTATTTCTTACTGTGAAACTATATGTGACTCAACCGACCTTAATTTGTTTGTTCCTTTAAACAATGTGCTCAATCTATAATTTAACAGTTATTTAGATATAATTTGATGTTTTTCTCAGACTATTCAAGCTATCTTTATTTATTTATGTATTTGTTTGTTAATAGTGTGAATGCTCATGAAGCATTCTCACTGAGATCCATTTTGCTCCCACATGTTTTTCAGCACATATCTCGTTACACGATTTTTGTGCAAGTTCAACAATTAAATATCCAGTGTTCAACTCATTTAAGACATTTCTGCTATAACCCTTTGGTATTTGTCACGTTCTACTTTTTGAAACATTTAGCTGCTTCAGACATGAAAACAGCGTTCGTTGTGCTGTTCAACCTCATTTCAGCTTGTGTTCTAGTTTAGCTTTTTTGTGCTAATTTTAGCTTCATTCTGCTAAATTCATTTTTTCGGCTACTTTTTAGGTATTTTTCTGCTCATTTTAACCCCTTTTCTGTATTTTTGTTCTCGCTATTGTTTGTGGAGTCGAGTTAGAATAAACGAAACCTTTTCTCTGCACCTGTTGGTTGCTGGCATCGTGTTTTTGTTGCCATCTCTTACGCAACAAGCCAAGAATGTGCAGAATGAGACATCTGGTCATCCCTGACTGACTGTGAGTTATGCTGTCATGTCCTCCCTTCTTTATCTGATCAAGAGAACCCAAATGTCTCTGAGAACAAAGGACGTGAACCGTTTTCAGTTTGTTCGTGAGCGGTGCAGCTTTTATTAGGTGACAGATTGGGAGTTCTTCATACCAGACATTAAACAGGTTTTTTATTTAAACATTTATTTTAAAGTTCTAACTTAAATGTGCATTCTGCTTTCAGAGAGTTATCTGCCTCCTTCTGTTCACATACAGTCCTATCATCTTCTCTCAGTTCATGAAGGGAGTTTGATCCTGTCAGCTGGACCTTTTCAAAATAAAGATGAGGCAAAGCTTGATCGTCACTTCTGACAAGATCTGTGTGTAAAATATTTTTTACTGCTCTGCCTTACAATCCTTATTATTTTACACCCACTGTCAGATCATGGAGTTAACAGAAACCCAGATCATGATCTCTCATGACCATAGGTGAGTTGGAATGGACCATCCTCTCATCTGCCAGGAGCAAGACTCAAGTTACTGACTGACACGGGTTAAATCCTCACACTGAATCAGGATCCACAAGTCTCAGGTGTCAATTAACCTTTAATTAATTAAAGATTCTTATTATATTAATATTATTTATTATTATTAACCATATTCGTTTGTGTAATAAAGCTGAAACACTCAAAAATAAATATTAAAGGTGACAATTTATACATTAAAAAAGATAAATAAACGTATTGGAAAAACAATTTTATGGAAATCCTAATATGTTCAGAAAAATAAATGTGGAGGGAAAATAAAAATAAATGTATGAATAAAATGTTAAATTTTCAATTTTGATAAAACTTTAGGTAAACGTTTATATTATTGTGGCTTTCTTTGGTTTTTGAATTATTGTTGATTTTAATCGTTTCAGTTTTTCATGTCAGCTCACTTTAATAAACGAGGTCAACAGCAGAACAATTCACAAACACACAAAACAGAAAGAACACCAAAGTCTGTTCATAACAGAAACAATTCACTTAATAAACATTTGTTTTAAATTCATATTTCAGCCATTCTGAGCTGAGGTTCAGGGTAAACATTATGAACAATCAACATCTTACCTGTTATACATACTTCAAAATGGCTGGAATATCCTTTAAAGTAAAAAGATTCAATTCTTTGGACAAAAAGTTGCAATCTTTCTGAAGTTCATTAAACAAACAAACAAAAGTAAACATTTTAGAACAAGTTTAAAATATCAGTGTTTGACAAAATTTCAGCATGTGGCAAGTGACGAGCTAAAGAAAATAATAATTTTGAAAATGTTAAACTAATAAAGTGCTTTTATTCAGAATTGCATGTTTACAATAAAATGTCAGTAAAATTTCTATTGATCAAAGTTTATCAGTCCAAGAATTGATGTTTGTGAAAAAGTAATGAAAATATTCCTGAATAATTATCATTAAACATGATTCTGCCAGCTGACACTACACAACTGATTTTAAGTCTTCGTTGTTGTTGTCTTAAACCATCTTCTGTTTATGTGTTTCAAACGTTTCATTCAAATCTTCACCGACACTTTTCAGTAGAAAAAAACTCTAAACTCAAGAGAAAGCAACAGTTTGGTGTATCTTTTGTGATTGTTTCTTCTCTGGGAGTCATCTGAGAAGGCAGGACTGTTTACTCCACCTGACAGAGGTTCTCTTCAGACACTCTGGTCGCTCTGTCCTCACAGCGCAGGAGTCTGACTCCAGCTCACTGTGTTTTACTGCTCTCTTGTGTTTCCGTCTCTGAGTCAAACTCAGTCAGGCAGCAGTAGAGTAACATCTGAGTGTATCTGGTGGCAAAGCCTGGGAGGAATGAGGAAAAAACGGTGCACAAAGGAAAGGAATTATGGGAAGCACAGACAATGTAATCAAAAGTGTTAAAATGGGCAATAAACACAAACATCTAGTACTTTCATAAATCTCAGAACATATAGATTTTAGATTACTTATTTTAATAGTGAATTTTATTCATACACCAAAGTTAGTAACGGAGTTCCTCAGGGTTCAATGCTTGGGCCAATACGCTTTAATTTATATATGCTTCCATTAGGAAATGACATGAGATAAATTTTTATTGTTATGCTGATGATAGTTATATTTATCCATGAAACCCAATGAATCCATTCAGTTACTTAGATTACAAGCATGTCTTAAAAACGTAAAGTCCTGGATGACCCTTAATGTTCTGCTTTTAAACTCAGACAAGACAGAGGTTGTTATTTTTGGACCAGAGAATCTTAGGAATAAACTTTACAGCCTTTCACTTCCTCTGGATGACATCATTCTGGCCTCCAGTTCTAATGTAAAAATCCTTGGTGGTATTTTTGATCAGGGTGTCTTTTAACACCATAATAAAAACGTTACCAGGACCGCTTTCCTCCACCTGCGTAATATTACTAAATTTTAAATTATTCTAGTTATTAATTCATAATTATTAAATCTGCTGGTTTCCTTAGATAGATAACTTTTACTAATAAACTGAACTGAATTGAACTAAAATTTAAAACATCTTCTCTCAAAATCAATGGAGAAAAACTGAGCTATGCTTTTATTACTTCAGGTTAGACTATTGTAATTCTTTATTTTGCTGTAATTTCTTTCTATGTTTGCATTTGTATACATTGCTGTCATCAGTCTTTGTTTTTGTCATTTATTTATTTATTTATTTATTCATTTATTGCCATAAAAAACACCTGGACCGTTCTTTCTGTCTGTCTCTCTTATTTGTTCTCTAAAACCCAGCTGTTTGAGATAGATAGCTGTCCATCTTGAGCCTGGTTCTGCTGAAGGTTCTTGTTTAAGGGGAGTTGTTTCTTTCCACTGTCACCATTATACTGCACAGGATGAGAGAATGCTCCAAAGTGAAGATTTTGCCTAATCTGCTGGTTTCCTTAGACTGATTTTTTTGTTGTTGTTGTAGTATGTCCAATTGTTATTGTACTAATAACAACAACTGACAATAACAATCGTACTGTAAATATTGTACAATTGTTATTGTCTGTTTCAGGCTGAACTGGACTGAATCTATTTTGATTTGAACTTATAACTTCTTTGAATCATGTCCTGAGATCACATGTGTTGTGTATTGGTGCTAAATCAATTAAATGAAGTGAATTGATAAATGGCCCATGACACATTGCAACAAAATTATCACTCAAATGTGTACAAAACAAACAATCTAAAGAACATTAAAGTGGAACACCTACGGTTTAGTTTACGTAGGAATCTGGGTCTCCTCTCCTCAGGAAGGTAAATGGCTACATAATAAACTGGAACACCCGATAGTGCAATACCAATCCCTATGAGGGAGTTAATGGTGTCTCCGTACAGAGGGACAATGACCAGGAAGATGCTGCACACGCAGTAGAGGATGGGGAAGAACAGGCTCAGCTGTGGAGAAGGGGAAAAACAAAATGGTGAATATTTTTGTGTCCACATTTGTGTATGTTAACAATCCATCCATCCATTTTCTTTACCCGTTTATTCCATTTTGGGTCACGGGGGTCGCTGGTGCCCATGTCCAGCAATCACTGTGCGAGGGGCGGGGTACACCCTGGACGGGTCACAAGTCCATCACAGGGCCGTATGTTAACAATATTTAGTCAAATTAACAAACTCACTGAAGCTGTTGATCTATTATTATTTTTATCATTATTATCATTATTATTATGATTATTTAATCTTAAGCCATACCATCCTTTTTACAGTTTTGTAGCTTTATGCAGCAGTCTTTTTTATTTTATTTTAACAAATTATTTTTCAAGCCTGTGGTGGTAATTTGATCAATATACAATTTGGATTTATTTATTTACTTATTAGTTTATTACTTACTTATTTACTTGCTTACTTATTTTCTTACGCACTTACTTATTTAATTACTTATTTACTTATTAATTTTTTTGCCCATTACTTTTGTCTAAGCTGTTCCAGATGGTTTTACAAATGATACCTCAGCTTTGACAGAAACAATCTGATTAATTAAAACATTGAAATGATGGTTCTGTGGAAAAGTTATGAACAATTAACATATTACCTGTTGTAGGTAGTTTAAATTTTTTTTTTTAAAGACTTCAGTGTTTGTTTGTTTTTTTGGGGGGAGGGGGACAAAAGGTTCCATCTTTGAAATAAATTGTGTTAAGGTTATTGAATAAAAATCACGTGTTGTATAAATGCAGTGCACTATGTAAATAAATGCAGTATTTGTAAGTAAAAATGAACAAGTGCACCTTGACAGGCCTGTGCCTGTCAGGCTGAGTGATGCGCAGGTAGATGAGTCCGGCCACAGACAGCCCAACATAAAACCAGTAACTGAAGCTGAAATAGTTGATGAGCTGAAACACGTCCTCCACGCACAGGAAGATCAGACCCATGAGCCCCTGCAGACACAAAAACATTTAAACTGAGTAAGAATCCTCCTGTGTGTTGATGAGCCATCTTGGATCCGCAGTGATTTCTCACATTAAACAGCAGAGCGGGTATGGGGGTGTAGCGGTGCAGGTGGATCAGACTCAGACTGTCCGGGAGATGACCCTCTCTGGCTCCAACAAAAAATAGCCTGCGAGATCAATAAAGACAAAGGTCAGTGGGAAGTACCTTGGATTTTTATTCTAACCTGAGCACTACATGAGCACCTTCTCGGGGTTTTCTCAGTACCGTGAGGCAGCGATGAGGGAAGCGTTGAGTCCTCCATAGCACGACATCGCCACCGAGACAGGGATGATCCAACTGAACGGCCCGAGCACCGCATTTCCAAACGTCTGTGGGGTCAAACGTAATTATTATTAGATTATTATTAGAGTCTAACATGGAAGTGACAATTAAAAGGAATCATTTTTATCCTCTAGCATATTAGAGAATAAAAATGAGCACACAGAATATAGACATTTTCATCTCACTCTTTCATCTCTTCCTTAGATTAAAAAAAAAGATTAATTCAGAATGTTGCATCTGTTAAAATGGTCAGCTACCTGTGGCACACCCATCCTAAGCTGGATTGACTCTGTAAGTTAATTAGCTGTAGAGGTACATCCAGTGATTATTTCCTGAAACTTTCATGTAAGTCCAACACACACAAATTAGAAGCTGTTTCACATTCAGAAATAATCTCATTGTTTTAACTCAATAATAAAAACTGATTAAATTAAACACAAAACACCATAGACGTTGCAACAATATGTGACGTATCCCTCTCGCACTTAATTCAATTCAATTCAGTTTATTTATATAGTGCCAAATCACAACAAAGTTGTCTCAGGGCACTTTACAGAAACATTCAAATACATAAAAAAGCCAATTAGTAAAGTTCTCTATCTAAGGTATTCGTTTGGACCCCCACCCCCACATTTACCATAAAACATTAGTTCACCCAGTGCTGTTTCTATTTCTCTGTGAATTAATCCATTCCACTTGAGTAATAGGAAAATACTCAAACCACTAAAAAATCCACTCCGGATTTTCCTGGTTACCTATTATAACTCACCACATGCAGTGTCCCCCGGAGGTCAGTTTATGGGGCTGGGGGATGAAGGGGTGACACCTCTGCGTTGCGCACTAGTTTAGCACTATGTTAGTGCTGGCAGTTGTTGACTGGGGGGGTTAGGATGGAGAGGCGGAGAGCTACATCTATAGCAGCTAGCACATCTGTATTGCGCGTTGCTAGCTTAGTGCTACATTAGTGCTGGCAGTTGTTGACCGGGGGGCTGAAGGGGGTTCGTACGCGTGAGAGAAGTGGAGTGTGCTCTATTCACACAAGGAGAGCTGTTGGTCAGGTTACTTCTTGTTGGGCCGTGTTCTTTAAAATTGTTATTGAATCAAGTGTTTATTTATGTAGGTAAACTTAGACTTTAACAACACATTAAAATACACCAGAATGCAGGAAATGGCATCTACTTTATACAAAATTTTCTGGGAAAGGACCCCCTTACCCCCCACTAGTGTGTCCCCCTACATTACAAATGCTTCTGACGCCAATGCTAAACACAATAAACTACACCCTAACTATAAAACCCAAACACGCTAAATATCACAGATCTCTCAAGTCTCATTGCTGCTGAACTTCCATCAGCGTTCGGGTCTTTTTATTCTTCTTCCTGTTGTTTTTTGTCCTGACAAATAACTTTGGGCCTCAATCAGAAAGGAGGTTTGGGGTTGTTTGTTCGGTGGTGGTGGGGGTGAGGACGGACGGGGGTGTTTTCTCCATGAGACTGCCTGTCTTTGCAGCAGCCACCAGCCTTGTGCAATAGAGATCTGGAGGTCAGGATCAGATCCATGATGTGACGTCACACACCATATATGGAAGTGAAGGGGTCGTTTCCAAAGCTCCGACCTCAACAGCTTGAAATCATCGCAAAAACTATGGTTGGTATTAGACTTTAAAATAAGTCCAGTGGTTGTTGAGATATTTTACTAACAGACAGAAAGAGTTAACCTCAAAGAGTTACTTCCTATTTTTATGCTGGCTGATGGGAAAGCTCTGGCGAGGGTGATAAAGCAGCAGATTTTTACATTTTTACTATTTTTGTGAGTTTCAAGTTATTTTAGTGATCTTGGTGGGTTTTTCTTAAACACAAGAATACAAACAAATTTATCCTTGTCTGCATAGTGCAAAGATATATATATATATATATATGTGTGTGTGTGTGTGTGTGTGTGTGTGTGTGTGTGTGTGTGTGTGTGTGTGTGTGTGTGAGAGAGAGAGAGAGAGCCATGCCTGTGACAGTACAACACCCCTCAGAATGCAGCTGTGTTCAGCAGCAATGATGGATTTTTTTCAGGCTGCTGTCAGTTTCTTACCACAGCGACGGCATCACTCGCCAGCAGTGATGGCATGTCTAGAACCACATAGTACGCTGCGTTGGTCAGCAGATAAATGATGGTCACCATGGGCATGGAGACGGCGATGGCCAGTGGGAGATTCCTGCAGACAGCACAACAGGAGCAAACTGAACAGCTGCAACAAACACACGACTTGACTCGTTTAACTCAAGTTAAAGTTTCAGACAATAAAATCTATTCTTCAGATAAAGGTTTTAGACTAGACTATAACAAAAGCATGTTGTTTTTTTCCCTAAATGTTTGTAGCTCTTCTTGTACTATTAACTAGCTTTACAGATATCACAGTGGCCTAATACTGGAAGGCCACCAGCACATGTTGCAGTTTCTTACTACCCAACAACGTGATTTAAAAAGAAGACACAAGAAGTGAATAACTTCTAATAAAACATCTGAACTTGTCTTGTGCGAAGTGTCTCATCACACCCCTGGACCTAAGTCCTCTCTGGTTGTGATTTGAAGAACCTTGACAGATTTTGAGGACTCCAATCAAATGTGAGATCAGCTCAGATACCACCTCCGATCCAGTGCTGATCTGTCAGTCTCTCATCAATTTGATCTGATATTGTAATCATTGTACATACAACACTGAACTTGTGACACGTTCCTTCAGCATCATCGACCAGTACCTATAGTTACTGAAGGTGGACTGAATGTCCTCACTGACTAACAACTGGACTCATTCATGTCCACCTCATCTCAAAACATTATAGGATGCACGGACTGTTTCATTCATGCCTGACAGAGCAGCAGCTGTCCACCTGGGCTTCGTAAGGTTTATGAAAAGGTCTGTAGTAAGGGTACATACTGTGGTATCACAGAGTGTGACTCAGAGTTATTGACTGTCCTTAAAGACTGAACACAACTCAACATGTAATGAGTTTCATTTCATTTCCACCCCTCTGTCTGGATGATTCGCTTTCTTTTTGTCAGTGAATGTCTTCTGCAGATTGGTGACAAATGAGCCAAGAGAAAAAAAAAGAAGCCCAATCCCACTAGAGCTTGTGTGTGATCACCTGTCAGGGTTCTGGATCTCCTCGGTGACAAAGTTGAGTGTATCCCAGCCAGAGTAGGAGAACAGAGCGGAGTAAAGAGCCAACGCTATCGATCCTGAGTCTGTGGCGGAGCCCTCAAATGGATTCTCAAAGCTCTTTGCTTCCCCTATAAAAAGACACATTGGAGCTTAAAGCACATGGCTCTTCCTTCTTTGATGAATTCTTCATTTTCCTTTCTCTTACCAGTCACCATATGCAGGATTCCAACAACGATGATGAGGAAGAGAGCCATGAGTTTTGCATAAGTGAAGACGTCCTGGACCAGAGTCCCCCATTTCACATAAGCACAGTTAATGAAGATGAGAATACCTGGACAGGTTGGAGGAAGAACGGGGTGCAGAGACTGTGAAAGTTCATTTACACAAACACCATTATCTGAAAAGTTATCAGGTTCACAAAAACAAAATTAACATGACAAATTAATTTAATAAAATCAAAGGAATTTATTTCCAATATTTTACCATCTTTTAGAAATTATACATTTGAAACCACTGTAGGTTTTGGAAAAAAGAAGTTTGCGCATTATGCACATGATGACACTGCAAACTGATTTGTGATGGATGATGGTGCCAAGAATGAAGATAAAGGAAGCATCAACCAAAGACTTTGTTATCCTTGTATTGCCCACTGCCCAAAACTTAAAGGTGATAATGTTTTTACCCATGTCTGTGTGTGCACGTGTGTTCAGTTGTCTGCTGTGTTTGGAAGATTAACATAAATATCTTAGAAAGTAATCATCGGACAAAGCTCTACAACCCAATGACTTTCTGAGTCAGCTCAGATTCAATATGGCTGCCGCAGCTCAGCAGGCCTCAGAATGGCTTCAACAGTCATTTTCACAAAGGTTGAGCTAAAATATGTTTTGAAGTAGCTGAGAGGTATTTAAAACTTCAAAAGCACTTTCTGATTAAATAATTTTTAAAATGTTACCATTAACCTCTGGAGTCAACTCTGTCCGTCTGTCAGCAAAATATCATTATCCACTGCATGGGTTTAAAAAAACGTCTCAACGGATATATATTAAAAATATATCTACAACTGATAAACCTTTGGAGCAAACTGTCAAGATTGCTGCCACAGCCAACTTTTTATTTTTCAACCTTTTTTAGACAGGTTAATCCCATTGAGCCACTCACACAGAGACATGTAGGAGGAGATGTATGAAGGCAGCAGACCAAGAAGTGATTTAAAGATAAAAATGTACCAGTGAGAGAGTCTGTGTGAAGTTAATGATGACCAGTTAACCAGTGAATACAGGGTGCAGTGGTGGGTACGATAATCACAGCCAGTTATGAATCTTAGTGCACCATGATAGACAGCATCCAACATCTGCAGGGTTCTTGTAGGAGCGTTCATGTAAATAATGTCACTGTAATCAGTGGAGGAGAGGAAAGTCACAGATACAAGGTGTTTCCTAGCATTCAGAGTTAGACAGGATCTGTTTCTGAAAAAGAAACCCAGTTTAACTTTCTTTTTCCTTATTAGGTTTTCCACATGGAGCTTAAAAGAGAAATGTGAGTCGACCAAGATACCCAAATATTTGTAAGAATCAACAAACTCAATAGGGACACCATTTGAGTTGAAGATCCACAACCTCTCCTCCTCCACCATAACCCTCAGCACTGGCTCTCCTCAGGGATGTGTGTTGAGCCCCCTCCTGTTTACTCTGCTCACGTATGATTGTGCAGCTACCCATCCAGGCTGTCACATTGTAAAGTTTGCAGATGATACAGTGGTGGTGGGATGCATCACAAACAATGATGAGTCCAGCTACAGGCAGGAGGTGGAACACCTGGAGAGCTGGTGCAGAGAGAATAACCTTCACATCAATGTGAAGAAGACAAAGGAGATGATTGTGGACTTCAGAAGGAACAAAAACATCTACACCCCCCTGAACATAAGAGGATCTGCGGTGGAAGTGTCTCCAGCTACAAGTACTTGGGTGTACACATGAATGACAACCTCAGCTGGAGCAACAACACCACCAGCCTGATCAAGAAAGCTCATCAGAGACTCTACTTCCTCAGACAGCTGAGGCGAGCTGGTCTGGGAAGCTCAGTCCTCACCTCCTTCTCCAGGTGTGCAGTGGAGAGCATCCTGTGCTCCAGCATCAACGTGTGGCATGGAGGCTGCACAGCTGCAGAAAGAAAAGCTTTGCAGAGAGTGGTGAAGGCTGCACAGAAATCTGTTGGAATCAGCCTCCCCACCATCACAGACATCTACACCTCCAGATGCAGGAAGAGGGCCACCTGCATCATGAAGGACCCCACTCACCCAGCACACACACTTTTTGCCCCACTCCCCTCAGGAAGGAGGTTAAGGAGCATTAAGTGTAGAACCACTAGACTGAGGAACAGCTTCTACCCTGAGGTTGTTAGACTTATGAATCTCTAACTAGAATAATCACTGTGAAAAACCATATCATGTTGCTGCTGATCTGTTTCATGTTGCTGCTGATCTGTTTTAATGTTGATGTGTTCATGCGTGCACATCTGCTCACAGACTCATGTTCATGTTTGTGCTGATGTTCAATGTTTTATGTTATGAGTGCTTAGTGTATATTTAGTTGATGTTTTTCTTAGTTCATATCTTAGATGTTATTACTGTTTTTCTTATACATTTTATTGTTGGATGTAACTGGGACCCTGTGTACATAATTTCGCTCCACCACATGTACCACATGAGGTGCGAATGACAATAAAGAAACTCTGACTCTCTCTGACTCTGATTTGAGGATAAAATCAGAGAAAGAACTGCTGGGACCGACTTTCTGTTTGAAAACAACATCCCTTTGGTTTCGTCTACATTTAGGACAAGTTTGAGACAAAACAAATCTGACTGGATTATGTTAAAAGCAGATCGTAAAAGCTGGAAAACCTTAGCAACCGTTTTAGCTCGACAATGAACAGCTTTGTCATCAGCATAGAAATGTAAAGATGCATCAGGGATAATCTGACCTACATTACCTATGTAGATTATGAAGAGGGTGGGTCCTAAGACTGAGCCTTGTGGGACACTATTGCTAATTGTTACAGTGCCTTGCGAAAGTATTTGCCCCCCTTGAACTTTTCAACCTTTTTCCACATTTCAGGCTTCAAACATAAAGATATAAAATTAAATTTTTTTGTGAAGAATCAACAAGTGGGACACAATCATGAAGTGGAATGAAATTTATTGGATGTGTTAAACTTTTTTAACAAATAAAAAACTGAAAAGTGGGGCGTGCAATATTATCCGGCCCCCTTGCATGCTGCAGTTCCAGCTGCAAGTCTCTTGGGGTTTGTCTCTGTCAGTTTTGCACATGGAGAGACTGAAATTCTTGCCCATTCTTTCTTGCAAAACAGCTCGAGCTCAGTGAGGTTGGATGGAGAGCGTTTGTGAACAGCAGTCTTCAGCTCTTTCCACAGATTCTTGATTGGATTCAGGTCTGGACTTTGACTTGGCCGTTCCAACACCTGGATACGTTTATTTGTGAACCATTCCATTGTAGATTTGGCTTTATGCTTTGGATCATTGTCTTGTTGGAAGATAAATCTCCGTCCCAGTCTCAGGTCTCTTGCAGACTCAAACAGGTTTTCTTCCAGAATGGTCCTGTATTTGGCCCCATCCATCTTCCATCAATTCTGACCATCTTCCCTGTCCCTGCTGATGAAAAGCAGGCCCAAACAATGATGCTGCCACCACCATGTTTGACAGTGGGGATGGTGTGTTCAGGGTGATGAGCTGTGTTGCTTTTACACCAAACATATTGTTTTGCATTGTGGCCAAACAGTTGGATTTTGGTTTCATGTGACCAGAGCACCTTCGTCCACATGTTTGGTGTGTCTCCCAGGTGCTTGTGGGAAACTTTAAACAACACTTTTTATGGATATCTTTGAGAAATGGCTTTCTTCTTGCCACTCTTCCATAAAGGCCAGATTTGTGCAGTGTATGACTGATTGTTGTCCTATGGACAGACTCTCCCACCTCAGCTGTAGATCTCTGCAGTTCATCCAGAGTGATCATGGGCCTCTTGGCTGCATCTCTGATCAGTCTTCTCCTTGTTCCAGATGAAAGTTTAGAGGGACGGCCGGGTCTTGGTAGATTTGCAGTGGTCTGATACTCCTTCCATTTCAATATGATTGATTGCACAGTGCTCCTTGGGATGTTTAAAGCTTGGGAAATATTTTTGTATCCAAATCCAGCTTTAAACTTCTCCACAACAGTATCTCGGACCTGCCTGGTGTGTTCCTTGGTCTTCATGATGCTCTCTGCGCTTTGAACAGAACCCTGAGACTATCACAGAGCAGGTGCATTTATATCGAGACTTGATTACACACAGGTGGATTCTATTTATCATCATCAGTCATTTGGGACAACATTGGATCATTCATAGATCCTCACTGAACTTCTGGAGTGAGTTTGCTGCACTGAAAGTAAAGGGGCCCAATAATATTGCACACCCCACTTTTCAGTTTTTTATTTGTTATAAAAGTTTGACACATCCAATAAATTTCATTCCACTTCACGTTTGTGGCCCACTTGTTGTATATTCTTCACAAAAAATTTGAATATATATAAATATATATATAAATATATATAAAATTTTATATCTTTATGTTGGAAGCCTGAAATGTGGCAAAGGTTAGAAAAGTTGAAGGGGGCCGAATACTTTCGCAAGGCACAGTAAATAACTGGAGGAAATACCTCAGTTATAGATTTTTATGGACATTTTTAATATGGTTATAGAACAGCTATAGCTAATCTTAGAAAATAAAAAAAATGATATTTCAGTTAATTTCAATGCTGGAGTTTGATGTGGTAGTAGCTGAGTCATTCAGAACAAACACTGAACTTGTGATATTGTATGAGATCACTTAGGGTTATTTCTAAGGTTTGACTGTAACAGTTATAGAATAGATATAACTCTGTCCCGTTAACCCCTTTGGAGCCAGGCTTGGTGGAATGAGCTCATGGGCTGGATATGGCCCAGGGACCTCCATTTGATGATCACAAATATACAGTAGACTTTTTATATTAATAGTACTCTGAAAAACTACAGAAAGTACCCCCGCTGTTTTAAAAACATTTACAGAATGCATAAGCATCAACACTCTTTAAACCAGTCTGCTGTTTTTATATTAGTTTTGTCACAATTTCCACATTACTTGCAGTTTTATTAAATATCATACATAAATCCATTCACACATGGACATTTAGTCAGATCATTACAAAAGGAAGTTCCATCTATTGGACATTATAGAAGAAATTTGATGAACGTTAGTGTTTCTAATGGTTGCTGCAGTGGCCTTGGTTTTTATGGTGAGGCGAAGAATTATGGATTCCTTCATACATACAGTATTTTTAAAACGCAGTGCTGTTGCATTTAACTTTATCTGGTTTGTTAGACAGGTTTTGTAGCATTTTCGAAATGTTGGACTCAGTAACTCCTGTCAGTCAGATTGTAATTTAAAATTTCACAGCCGGCAAACGTTCGACCAAAGTGTCTTTCTCACGTGTCGGCTCTCTCAAACACAGAATCTCTGATTACAGAAGTAGAAAGTCACTTCCTAGAAGAGCAGCTCAGGTCTCAGGAAGTTGCTGCTCTTTCACCTAAATTGCGCTTCTGATCACTTCAGCCTTCACAGCACAACCACCGTTGTGAGAGCTCGTTTCATCTTGAGCTTCTTATGCATCTTATGCTTCACCATAAAACGGACACTGCTTTTCAAGATTAATGTGAATTACCAAGAGCTTGAGCAAACGATAATGCACGGATTAAATAAACTGGTACGAGGAAGTAAAATAATCAGAGGCTGTTAAGGCAGCGGCACGTCGTGGATCGCTCTGTTCACTGTCCACTAGAGACCTGAGCCGGATGAGAAGCTGCAATAAAAATGTAGCTCACAATGCAAACTGAATTAAAAATGTACAACTCAGAGGTTATTCTACACCTCATGTTACTGCACTCTCGAAGCCCCATTCAGACCTGGCACCAACATCTGTCCTTGGTGTTCAGACTGCATCCTGATAACACTAAGTGCAGGTGTGAACAACCTCAATTGAAAGTGGCGGTCTAGAGTTTGCGTATATTAGGTAGTCTGAATACAATTCATCAGAACCCTTCTCAAGAACAATGTCCATTTGTGAGGATTTGTGTATTCTTGTGTCTTCTGTCCTGCTCTCCCCAGTATTCTCCATCGTGTAATCAGCTCCTGCCACCTGTTGTCTTTCCCCAGGTGTTTGTTATTGTCTGTCATTAGCACCCCTACATAAGTCTCTGTGTTCATTGTCTGGGCATTATCCAGTATGAGTCCTGTTTCTGCCTCACATTGTGTCTCCCCTGAGTTCATGTAAGTTTATTGCATGACAGCTTTTGTTTTTCTTTATTAAAAAAATAATTGTGTATACATATATATATATATATATATATATATATATATATATATATATATATATACACACACCTTAAATCCTGAGTTCTCTGTGTCCTGCCTTCAAATGGGTTCCAAACACAAGAAACACAATACTGTTAGCTGTCAGTGGATTATAAAAACACTATTTCTCTTTAATGTTTGTTCTTTATTGCTTTTGAATCTGTCCCATCATGGTGACGTGGTAGAGCAGTGGTTAGTGCTATTGCCTCACAGTAAGAAGAAGGTCACTGGTCTGCATCCCACCTGAGGCCTTTCTGTGTGAACTTTCCATGTTCTCTCTGTGTTTTCTCCAATTTCCTTCTTCAGACTAAAAACATATACAGGTATGCTAGGATGGTAACTCTAAATTGTCCCTAGGTGTGGGTTGTTTGTCTCTGTGTCCCTGTAATGGCTTGGAGACCTGTCCATTAGTGTACCCCATCTCTCACACAGTGACAGCTGGAAGTAGGCACCTGGTGGTGCCGTACAGGGAGTTTGTCCAAAGACAGGACAACAGTCTGAGCAGCATTATGTCACATGTTTTTCGTCTTATTAACCACACAGCCCATGTTAAACTCACTGTGAAGCTGTAAAGATCAACGCATTGTCTTCACGTGAAGAAGTTTTTGGTTGCATGAGTAAAAATCTTTAATCTTTGCTATGACATTGAGCTCCATGAAGCCCCAAATCATTCTATGTCCTCTTATTTCTCCCATATCACATCTGCTATAATTGAGATCATCAAAAGTTGAGAATACAGAAAAACAACTCAAGCTGTGTTCATGTCAGATGCCCATATGTATTGTCATATTTACAGAAACATCAGCAGATCTGGTGTCTTAGTGTTGTGTGATGCGGCTGTATGTGGATCTACATGTGGAGCAGGTAACGGAGATCGGATCACTCCAGACAGATCTTAACACTAGGTGTGAATCATTGTATTTAAAGTTGTCCTCTTGCCACCACAAATTAATGCCAGGTCTGAACTTGGCCAAGGAATTGGTTTATACAGTCTATTCCTGATGCTCAGCATCATTTCACACACAGGATTACTTACAGAGGCAGGCTGCAGCGATGAGTCGGACACCATCATATGGTGGCTGGCAGGTTGGATAAAAAGCCTCAACCAGATATTTGGCGAAGGTCAGTGAAATAGCAGCCTGGCTGGCTGGTTCAATCAGCAGGATGGATGTCCACAGACGGATGAAAGCCAGAAATCCACCAAACGACTCCAGGATGTAGGCGTAGCTGGCCCCAGATTTGGGGATAGTGGTGCCAAGCTCTGCATAGCAAAGAGCCCCGAACACCGAGAAGATACCCCCGATAGCCCAAATCACCAGGGACAGCCCAAAAGAAGCACTGTACATCAGAACACCCTTCGGCGAGATGAAAATCCCAGAACCTATCATGTTGCCCACTATGAGGCAGATCCCATTAAGGAGAGAAATCTCCCTCTTCATCTGCAACTTCTCTTGGGTACCATTTGGAACCTTTAAGTTCTCCTCAGAATCCGCTCGGGAACTTGGACATATTTTCTGGGACATGACCTCGATCGTCTGCCTTAAATCCCCCATTGATGCTGCAGTGCTGAAACAAACACAAGGAGTGATCTTTACTGGCCCAAAAACTGTGACTGCAGTTTCTTCTTGTCCAAAATACAGAAGCTGAGCCAAACACAATCTCAGATCTTCTTACAATGCTGCCAGGGAAGATCTGACCTTAGTAACACGATGAAAGATAAAGTCAGCTCACCTTGTTTACAAGAGAAACCCGACTGCTGGTTCCCCCAAGCATAAAGTCCCTCTTGGGTCAGCGGTGCCCCTCTGAGACACCAGTCCTACTGTGGTGAGAGAACATCTGAGAGGCAGCAACAGTCGGTCGATGGGGCAATCCCTGAGAGCCGGCACAAACACAAACTGTACTTTTCACCAAGGAGAAGTACACCCCTCCCCCCACAACCCCTATCCAATGTGCTATTTTAAGGATTGAGCAGATCCCATTCCTGCATGCAGAGACCCTTCAAGGCCAAACACACAGAAGAAACTAAACTGTTTTTGGGCTCATTTAAAGGATCCAGATAATGAAGCCTTTGCTATATAAACTTCAGTAAGATGTACTGTCAGTAAATGTGTTCTGATGAACAGGTTTGGCTGACCAGTTGTCCCTATCTGTCAGAAAGGCAGGCTGTAATGTTTAGGGATGGATTTAGAGACAAAGGGACTCCCGGGTACAGACGTGTCAAAATCCTGACCCAGTTCTCTGTGACAGAGCTGAAAGAAGATCCCTAATGTCTGTTTAGGAACCTGTCCACACTGCTCTTGAAATTTATTTAGGCAAAAGTGTTTAGAGTTTATATTCTTTAGTCCATCCACGTTCTAACAAAAACATTGAAATACCCATACCACACCACTAGGTGGCGATTCATCCAAATTCAAAACGGGGAAAAATGCTTGGCTAATGATTTTCCTAAAATAATAGTGGCTTTTATTTATTTATTTATTTTTTTAATGATGTTGACAATTTTCTCAGTTATTTCAGCACAGGACCAAAGTTTATTGATAACAGGATCAGAATGAAACAAAACTAACAAACAGTAAAAAACAGTTTGTTTTTCAGAGGCGCAAATATGACTGAAAATGTGGTTTTTGACAAGGACTGAATCTTTTATTTTTATGTGTACATGTGACATTGTTGTCTGCAAAAACTTAAACTGGTTTTAAACACTGGCAAAACCAAGCTCATGGTGTTTTCTTATGAAAGAGCTACGAGGATGTATCCCACCAATGTAACCACACGGGGAAAACGTATAGAGCTGGTCTCAAATTACAAATAGCATTTGTTCTTGATCGTGAGCTGTAATCTGGCAACTAAACTCAAGCTGAAGGTGGGTTTTTATTGTAGAAATAAATCTTGTTTTCACTCAGTGCAAGGAAGATCTTAGAATTTGCTACCTTTACGCCTCTATTCAACTGGTCATGTGCTTCATTCAAATGTTTCCAGTCCTCAGACACCGCTCATCACAGAGCTCCGAGGTTCATCACTGTTTACAGTTGACTCACTCTTCACTCTGAACTGTACTCCAAATCTGGCTGTTCTTCTCACATGTACAGGTCCTTCTCAAAAAATTAGCATATTGTGATAAAGGTCATTATTTTCCATAATGTAATGATAAAAATGAAACTTTCCTATATTTCAGATTCATTGCACACCAACTGAAATATTTCAGGTCTTTAATTGTTTTAATACTGATGATTATGGCATACAGCTCATGAAAACCCAAAATGCCTGTCCCAAAAAATTAGCATATTTCATCCCACCAATGAAAGACAAGTGTTTTTAATACAAAAAACGCCAACCTTCAAATAATCATGTTCAGTTATGCACTCAATACTTGGTCGGGAATCCTTTTGCATGAATGACTGCTTCAATGCGGCGTGGCATGGAGGCAATCAGCCTGTGGCACTGCTGAGGTGTTATGGAGGCCCAGGATGCTTCGATAGCGGCCTTAAGCTCATCCAGAGTGTTGGGTCTTGCGTCTCTCAACTTTCTCTTCACAATATCCCACAGGTTCTCTATGAACCAACTGAAATGTTGGTGTGCAATGAATCTGAAATATATGAAAGTTTCATTTTTATCATTACATTATGGAAAATAATGACCTTTATCACAATATGCTAATTTTTTTAGAAGGACCTGTAGATATACACACTGGATGACTTTAATCTATAAGATTCTACTGAAATTAGTTCTATTTTATTTAGGCACCTTTCTACAAAGAAATGCAGTTGCTAGTCTGACACTCCAACAGTGTCCTCCTGTGGTTCCTCGTGTCAGAAGTGAATTAGGGAAGAGTGTTCAGCTTTGCTGCCTCCTCGGCTTGGAACGCCCTACAGACTGATCTGAAACTGCCAGGCCTCATGTCTTTTCCAGCGTTCAGTTTAATCCTGAGACGTCGTGTCAGCATGACCTTAGAATGATGCTGATATTTTTAACCACTGCCTCTGTACCCATTGTAGTAATTTCAACCATTGCTTATGTTTTTCAACTATTGCTTGCACTTAAACCACTATGTACCTACACAAGGTGAGGTCAGTGAACAAGGCCAGGCTGATTCTGGCAGATCCTGATCATCCACTCCATGGTGAGTTCAGGTTGCTTCCATCTGGACACAGGTATCTGCTGCCCAGATGTAGAATCAACAGACTAAAAAAAATCATACATCCCTGTAGTGATCAGGCTTCTCAGAGAACAGTGACGATTTCTGTAGTTATTTTAATGTCTCAATGTCTTGTCTAGTATGGATGTTGTGTGTGCCTACTGACTGTGAAACAAATTGCCCCCCGGGATAAAGATTCTTGAACTTGAATGTTAGTCACAGTCAAGATCATTATTTTGCTATGTCCTTGCACTTTTTTTTACTTTATTTTTAACCAGTATTTACATAAGGACAGGTTACATAGATGCACATAAAGTACACAAATGCCAACTAGTCATGAGAATCTGCCAGGAGTCGTCTGCCCAGCTTGTTTTTATACTCAGCCCAACTCACAGACTCGTCGGTGTCCTTAGAGCGCCAGCCTCACGCTACAGCCTCACCCAGCTCATCATCCAGCTCTCCTCGCTAACCCAAACATATGGGCAGAGTTAACTATGTCCTTGCACTTTAACATAAAAAAACCAAAACATTTATGTGGGTATAACATTGTTTATCCTATATTGTTAAATGTTTTGATTATTCTTTCATGGCATGTGCAGCTGACCTCTTGGCCAGGTCAGACTTGGAAAAGGGATCTTGAGCTCGGTGGGTTTTTATTTGGTTAAATAAAGGCGACGATGAAAAGCCAATCATGTTTACGCTTGCTGATAAACTATGTCATCAATCACTGGATGGATTTTAATGAAACTCTAAAGGGAGTGATCAATGTACATCTATGACTGATTAATATTTGGAGTTGATAATTTCAAGATGGCTGCCACAGCTAATAAATCCAAGCAACCTCAGTAGTTTAGGTTTAAAATGGTCATGACTATTGGCGACAATATGCATTTCTTGAGGGAACGCTTGGTCTTATTTATGGTGATACCTTACCTCAGTGAAACTCGTGTGTTCGCCAACCTTTTCATGATCAAACATTTAATGAAACATCCGAGGATCATAAAAAAAACAAGAGGCAGAGGTACAAAACAGTTTATATTTTAATGAAGATCATGATAGTTTGTGAAAAATGCGAGCTTCAGTTGTAATCACAACTACACAACTATAGACCGACGAAGATTTCTGACAAGTGTAGGTCAGTTCAGTACAAGTTATTTTGTTCCTTAATCTCAAAACTGGACAAAAACAGTGCACGAGTTCTCAACGTGTGAAGAGCATAAAAAAGGAAACTTTTGTCTACAATATAAAATAAATTACAACATATACAGACTTTTACTCAACTTTGCTGATATGTGTGTAAAAAAAAAACTTTTACACCTCCTTAAAGTCGAGACCAAAAGTAGAATAAGAGGCACAAATTTCAAAGACAAGGCAACCTATGGAAGAATGTGATGTTCCTTGGCCTTCCTGCTGTCATTTCAATGACTAACGTTGTTTTACCAACAACGACCTGCCTTGGCTCACTTCCTGGAGTCACATGTTTGTTACTGTAGTTTTTTGGGGATCTGCAGAATCCCAACACTAAAACGATGCGAACGTGATGAGAATTTATTCACAGAAATTAGCCCAAAATAAATGTTTTTTTGAGAGAATATCCATGACATATACTGTATGCTACAGCAGCAGTTTTATTTTAAGCACCTTATTGAGGAAGTGAGGGCAGGAGTGACGACAATAAGGCCCATTATTAAAAATATTTACACAATTTAAACAGCAGGGATGGCACAATAAACCAATCAAAGTGATATTACAGCCATTTTAAAGTGGGACTTTGTGTAAAAGCTACTACTGTACATATAAAAAAAATAAAAAATTACCTGTAATTTTCTTCTTTTCTTAGTATTTCTTTATTCACATTTTAACCAGTTTAGTTTCCCCTGATAAGTTTTGACTTGAAAATGAACTTACAATTTAAATCTGAACACGCTGCAATACACTCTGAACGTGTGCAGTCCGCTTCCTTCAATAACAGAAAAATCTTTAACTTTCTGTCATCGTTGGGAATTCCCCATCCACCCCCCCCCCCCAAAACAAACGAAAAGAGTGAGAGCAGAACTCTGCTGTGCTGAAGCAGAGTGATGCATTCAATGTGTGTCGGACGTCTCCTTCGTGTCATTTACTTTTAATTAACTCACTTTAGCGATCCTCTTTGTGGTTAACTAACTACTTTTATAAACTAACTACAAAGTTGCTGTGCATCATCCTCAATGTTCTCTCGGTAATAAATCTGTATTAAAGTAAAGATGTGTGAAATGTGTGAGTCACGTCCCAGAGCTTAGTTTGTGTAATAGTGAACACCCAGCAAGCCTTCAGATAAATCAGCTTCTACTCTTATTATTTATATAAAAAAATATTTGGTGCTACCGTCTTATAATAATGTGTACTTTTTGTCAAATAACAGTATGATGTACCAAACACTGATTTACAGAGAGAACAACAATATTTTCAACAGTTGCTGCTGTGTAGAACAAAAGCTTGAGCAGATTATTGACTGGTACAGTTTGGTTATGATTTAAACTGGTCTGAAATTCTTCCTTTAAGCCTTTCAGCGGAATGGTTCTTCTGAAGAGCAGCTCCGTAACGAGTTAAAAACAATTTAAAGAGTTCGATCAGAGGTTCTGGAAAAAAGGCAACTCTGCAAACATCAGTGCGAGTCCATAAAAAGGAACATAATTAGGAATACTGTGAGGCGAGGCCACGTCTGAATAATAATAAAATAAAAAAAGACTACAGATCATCTTGGTCCACTTTAAACTTTTTCTCTCTTTTACACACATGCACGCACATTTTGTGTGTTATATTTTAATTGTAGCATTTGAGCAGGAAACAGAAGCTGCAACATTTGCTCTTGTTTCAAACTATGCCCTGCAGGCTGCTGCTTCACGCTGCCGTCACGAGACTCATGACTCGGTGCACGTTACAGGAAACAAACCAGTAACAGGAGGAAACCTCGTATGTCTGGTGGGCCTCCCAGCACAGCGGCAGTGTCTTACTTACATTAAAGTAGCAAAGACATTTGTAATCTACAAGTAAATCTAGACACACACACACACACATACACACACACACAGCTGCCATATTTGACACAAACAGCAGGTAGCGAAGGAAAACTGAAAGAATGAAGGAAATATAAATAAATTACATCAAATCCAGAACATGTTAAATAAAATCATTGTCTTAAGTTTTCATAAATTCAGGTCAAACACAATAAAACCCATCACTTCTGGTGGGTTTTAAATTTGTACCTGTAACTTATTGCTCCTCTTCAGTTGTCCCAGGAAAAGCTGGTTGGAAACCTTCTGTGTTTCCTGATGACATCAGAGCATGAACTAGTTCACTGCAGAGTGAAGTTGGTCGTCTTTCCGTTGCTCTGGCTACATGTTCCTGGGGATGTTGTAGGACATGGACAGTGGGGGCACGCTGGGGGTGGCAGTCGTCGGGGAGGTGATCTCAGGCGGATACGGCTGCAGGCCTCCCTGCTTGTTTTCGAGTAGCTTGCAGACGATGATTCGGCAGAAGTCCTCGTTGTGTTTGTGGCAGTGGTCCAGCAGCTGACGGACTCTGGCAGTGCGTGTGAGCTGAGTGGTAATTAGTTCGTAATCCTCTCGCATAATCATGTTGCGGGCGACCAGCGCGTCCAAACTCTGGTTCAGACAGGCCTCTGTCATCTGGGAGACGATGTTCTCTCGTCGCGTGGCGATCCAGTGGGCGATGGGGCCTTGAGACGAGGGAGAGTGTTGTACAGGCGAAGTGTTACTAGCTGCAAGAGAAGAAGTTTAGATTTAAAAATAAAAACCACTAGTTTATTTTATTTTACCTTTATTTAGCCAGCCAAATTCCATTGAAATCACAGATCTCTTTTGCAAGGGAGGCCTGGGCCTGAAGGCAGCCCAACATGCATGTTTTTAATGTTTTATGATTTATGTAGTTCATTATTTTTACAGTAGCTGTTGATTTTATGGTTTTTATGCTTGCTTGTATGTGTTAGTGTACAGCACTTTGGCCAATGGTGTTGTTTTTAAAATGTTTTATAAATAAAGTTATATTGTATTGTATTGAACTGTGGGAGGAAACCAGTGTTCCCAGAGAAAACCCACACAAATACAAGGAGAACAAACAAACTCCACACTGAAAGACCCCAGATCCAAACCCAGGACCTTCTTGCTGTGAGGCAACTGTGCTAACCTCTGAGCCATCGTGCTGGCAAAAAGTGAGCAAAGTAATAAAAACAAACACCTTTTCTATTTAATTTGAAGAGGCTCCTTATAAAGCACATCAAGGCCCTGCAGCACCCTTCACTAGACCCCCTGCAGTTCACCTGTTGGTCCAGTTGTTAAACGACAATCATGTCACCTAGAACCAGGTCAGAGAGTAGTCAGATCCAGGAGGAACAATGCAGGTTCTGTCCTGGGCATGGAACACTGGACCAGCTCTTTACCCTCACTAGGGCCCTCAAGGAGTCATGAGAGTTTGCCCATCCAGTCTACATGCGTTTTGTGGACTTGGAGAAGGTATTCGACCGTGTTCCTCAGGGTACACGGTGGGGGGTGCTCTGTAAGTATGGGATTGGGGCTGTTGTTAAGGGCTGTTCAGTCCCTATACAAGCAGTGCGAGAGTTTTGTTCACATGGCTGGTAGTAAGTCGGACCCCTTCAGGGTAGGAGTTGGACTCCACCAGGGCTGCCTGTTGTCACAATTCTGTTCATAACTTGGTGCAGTCAGTGGCCTCAGGATTCCATCTCTGCTCTTTACAGATGAAGTGGTCCTGTTGGCGTCATCGTGCCGTGGTCTTTACTCTCACTGGAGCAGTTCACAGCCGAGTGTGAAGCAGCTGGGATGAGAATCAGCACCTCCAAATCTGAGGCCATGGTCCTCAGTCAGAAAAGGGTGGATTGCTCTCTTCAGGTCGAGGGTGAGGTTCTGCCTCAAGTGGAGGAGCTCAAGTATCTCTGGGTTTTGTTCATGAGTGAGGGAAGAATGGAGCGTGAGATTGACAGATAAATTGATGCAGTGTCTGCAGTATTGTGGACTCTGTACTGGTCCATTGTGGTGAAGAGAGAGCTGAGCTGTAAGGCAAAGCTCTCTGTTAACCGGTCGGTCTACATTCCTACCCTCACCTATGGTAAGGATGTTTCCTGGGTGCCTCCCTAGGGAGGTGCTTCGGGCATGTCCAACTGGGAGGAGACCCAGGACACACTGGAGAGACTGTGACTCTCAGTTGGCCTGGGAACACCTTGGAGTCCTCCCAGAAGAGCTGGAAGAGGTGGCTGTGGAAAGAGATGTCTGGGCCTCCCTGCTCAAGCTGCTGTCCCCGCGACCCGACTTCAGAACAAGCGGAAGATAATGGATGGAATGGGTACATAGATTTTCTAAGTGGTCAACACAGAAAACGTCAAAACAAGATAACACAGGATCACACATATGCTTTAAGAGTTTGTACCTTTGAGGGTGGAATTATCCACATGTGTTTCCAACTCCGTGGCAGGCAGGACCGGTTTGACAGGCATATTTAAATCATTCAGAGGCTTGGCGCCCTCAAAGCCGTTCACATTGTTAGGCTGTCCGGGATCCTTCAAAGACTCTGGAGCCTCCAGATTAGGAGCTATGAAGGAGGATGGAAGGCTCTCTAGACACCAACAGGAGTAGAAGTAGTAGTAAGACATGTTAAGGAAGAAATGCACACAATGAACATAACAGACTCAAACCTTTGCATATGTGCTCCAACATTCAAGTAAAACAACCTCCTTTAACAAATTGTTTAGTGTGAACGGATGTGAGAAATAGTTTGAAGTGGAGCTCTGTGGAACACAAATAAGTCAGTATCTTAGCAGAAAAAAAGATCTTTAAGTTTGAAAAATTAACAACAGTTATCATGGGGTACTTAGATAAGAGCCTATAAAGCCAATAAAATCCCTGTTAATTATTGAATTGGCTAATAGATAGTAGCTTCTGTGGCCTATATCACTAGACAGAATCCAGCAGCAAGTATGCTGTACAGGCTAAATCATGCTACAATTTACTACAAATTATTAAATTATTAAATAGTGCAAGCTGGCATTGCCTCCGGTAACAATTCATTATCTGCTCCATTTGCATTAAAATTGTACTTTTTAAACTTAAGTATAGATTAGACACGGATCATCGCTTTTAGCTGGAACTAGTAAAGCTAACAAACAATTTACATGTTAAAAAATGTAGGTGAAAACTCATCAACTAGTTGAAGTCATAATTATTCAACCAGATAAAGTCTTGAAATCATTGTGTCAGTCATTAGTTATTGACCTGAAGTCTAGTTTAGATCATTAAGACTCAATATATTTTCCTTGTATATCATCTAGCTGTTTTACATGATTGTTGTATATAATTAACACTAATTATGAACTATATAAATTTAATGTAAAGATAAAAAAACAATTTGTGACACAAATCCAGTTGGGTTTTGCTGTTAAACAGTTATTTTGTTGGCTGTGAGCAGTTGCCTGTTTTGGATGCCATCTTAGCTTCTCCACAATGTCACAAATGTAAACAAGGTGTGGGACGGGCAGAGTGCTCTCTGGTTGTTTAATAGAACTGTGTGGTTGCGCTCCACTTCAGACCAGCTGAGCTCTGCTCCATGCATCTTTTGGTTCTGCACCGCCCACTTCATTTCTGAAAGCACATATCTGTTGGGGACGTGGCCGGCTTCACCTGTGATTTATGAACGACCAGTAGGAGGATGAAGACAGACTGTTCTGTGTGGCCATTTCACAGAACTGTTCAGATTAATCGGATCAGGACAGGATAAATTCATGCCACGTACAGTACATGTAGCAGCACAAATCTTGATCAAATGAAAAATTTCTATCAATTTATACAAGCAAAAGTGGTGAGCTAAGAAAAAAACATTTAGTCTGGTGTTTGTGCGAACAACTCGGACAAGTTTGAGTTGTTTAAGAAACATCCTCCATTGTCCCTCCTCAGAGCAGCTGTTAGCTTGATTGCACCAACAAAACTTCCTTCCAGTGCTTTAAATGACATCACTCTGAGGGCTCCTCGTCAGAAACGGATTATTTAAATCCCTTTTTGTTGCACATAAGTGAGACAGTCCTGACAGTCTGCATGATGACAAATATAAATAGCTAACCTTTAGAGGAGGGAGCACTGCTGATGGTGAGGGCTCTTGGTAGAGAGATGTCTGCGTCCTGATAGGAGCACAATCCTGAGCCAGAACCTGATGTGGAGTGCTCCTGGGACACAACAGCATCTGAGTGTTAGCAACATTTCCACACTAGAATGACACGTATACTAAAAGCTTAAAACATGTTTTTAAATATCCTGCTGAGTCACAGCAACAGAATGTGTTGTCATATGTTTCTAACCAGGTAGTTTTCTTTATAATGGTCATCTGACCAGCTTGAACACAGCAACACAAAGAAACATCTGAACTGCTTCACATTAAAGACATGCACATTCTGCAGATGTTTAAAGGAACCAAACACAATAAAACAGAACTGCCCAAACTTTTCTTCTTTATAGTTTTTTGTCTAAACTGATCTCCTGCAGCAGACTCACTTTTTCTCCTACAGTATGAGCTAAAATGATTATCCATGCTGCTGTATTCATTCATACCCATCTGCTCACCACGGACTCACTTTTCAGGCTGCTCTTTAATATATCATATTATTTTACATTATTAGTGCTTAGTGTATATCTTAGATCTTTTAGTGTACCGTTTGGTGTTTTGTTTAGCGTATATCTTAGTTCCTTATTTGCTGTTTCTTACGGTAACTCCAACTTGTGAGCAAAATTTGCCCAAACCATCTATTGCTTTTCACCATCAAATTAATAAAGCTAGCAGCACTGATGAAAGTATGTTGGTGCAAATGTGCCTAAGTTCAGCAGGAGTGGACAAACCACATTCTTCTGTGTCAGATCATAACTGCATGATGCACGTATAACCATCCACCACACAGCAGCACACACAAGTGAAGAAAATATTTTCTCAAAGTGAGCTCCAGGTTTCAACAAATGAAGAACAGACACCCTTTAAAACTGCATGACCAACATCGAATTTTATCTGTGAGGATAATGTTAGGGATTAAATTAAAAAAACATTTAGTGCTTTTTGGACCTTAAATGCATCTGTCCTTTGTTTTCTATCAAAGGAAACGTGATTCAGTTTGCTTCTGTTTCAGACAAAGGGATGATGTCCCCACCTCTGCCCAGCTGGGAGGGTCAGAACGCCCCTCATCATTTACAGAGTTAATAACTTGTGTTCTGTTGAACACCTAGATGGGAACCACCATCTGATGAAATGTTTCATAATCAATGTTTTCTGTGCTGAATGTAAAACAACAACAGCAGAAATTACAATGTTTGACACTCCTTACTAGGAGAGGAAGAATTAGACCTTTCCAAACATTCCTGCTCTTTTTGTGAAGGCAGTAGTGCAAAAGTTGCTCTTCTTCCTCAGTTTCTTCCCATGAGATGCAAATACCACCACTTTTCAGATGACAAATACTTTGTTTGCAAAAAGCTGTGATCTTTGTGAACATGCATAAACTCTCATTTAAATGTGAGCCAACAGTGCTCACAGAGAGATCAGGTATGTTGTTTGGACGCCCGCTGACTGAGTTTGAGGTACATATCTCCCTTTCTGAGGGTTTGAGAAAGCACAAAATCCTGATTAGTGCATGCAAAAACTATGGTAGTCATTGCAGCATTTGTGCCACCAATTTAAGCTGCAGAAGTTTACTCTGTGTCTGTGTGTTGTGGAGTCAGACAGTGAATTCAGCGGAGAAGATTCAGCTTGGAACCGTCAAGTGAGGGGGAGGAGGAGGGATGCTTGACAAAAGTGAACTGTTTACAAATGTAGGTAAACGTAGATGTTTAACAACCCATTAAAATGCACCAAAATGCAGGAAATCTCATCTACTTTATTCAAAATTTTCTGGGGGAGGACCCCAAGACCCCAAGCCAGCCCACCTGCTATTGGTGGTCCAGCATCAATCAGTTTACAAATTAAGCCCCGAGTACACCACTGACGTGTAATGACCAGCTGCTGCTAGATTTCCAAATAACAACAAACAATCTGTGACAGCTCAGGAAAAACACCTCACTTGATCTGCAGGGACTTGAAGAACTGAACTGTTATGTTATGACTTTTATAGTTTTCATTTAAAAAAAATTAATGAAATGTAAAAAGAAGAAACTAGTTAACTTGAAGGAATGCCCATCATCTTCTACATTTCTTGTCAAAGTTTTAACTGAAGATCTCGATGGATCTTTTAACACTCGGGATGTGTGTTAGCTTTAACGCTCAGCTACAACCAAACCAAATTATAGCTCAGAACCTGTAAAACTGACCAAAATACATTTTCGTGTTTCCAACTTTGAATCGAGTTAATGCCAAAGTTTAAAAAAAGATAAAAAATACAATAATTGTCCAATAATTACTTTTGGGAGTTTCACTGAAATCAAAACAGTGAGCATGCATCAGGATACAAAACAGTGATTCATGAGATTTTTTGCTAACAGAGAAATTAACACACCGTGAACATCAGCCTTTCAATGAATTCCAAGGATTTTAATGGACTATATTTATATATAGTGCCTTTCAAAGCACTTTACAACACAATCCGTGTCCTCATTTACCTCCACACACACGTTCATACAGCACTCTACTAGATCTATAAAAAGTTGATCTGAATCTGTAGAGACTAATCAGAGCTTTATCACATTCATACACTGATGGGACACCCAGAGACAATGAGGGGTTCAGTGTCTTGCCCAGGGACACTTCAACATGCGACTGCTGGTGGAATCGAACCCCCAACTCTACCGTTGGAGGGCGATTGCTCCAACCACTCAGCCACAGCTGCCCCATATTAATGAAATCAATATTGTTACTCACTCATGTCTGAAAAAAGTTCTGTTTTAGCTTCTGATGTCTATTTGCTGCAGGAGGGACTGAGTGAATACTGACCATGGGCCAGAGGCTGGGTCGGTTCTTCAGTATAATCAGCGACTCCTGCTCGTTTCTCTTCTCACAAACCGGCTCAGGTGAACAACAACCTGTTCTCTGTTTCAGCTGTAAAAAGCCACAAAGACACGACACCATCAGAACACAGAAGAACAAATAAATAAACAAACAAGGCCATGTTGAATTTATAGAAACTGAACCTCAACAGTCTAACCTGTATTGAATTTCTGACCACAGATTTACTTCTATTATTCCAACAATGGAGCCATATTATAATATTTAACAGAAATACTTTAAATGCTTGAGTAAATATATTATGTCAATACTAGCCAGCAATTTTTTTCTTGTTCAAATATCATCATTAAAAGTGGGGCCTGGATACAAAACAGTGTTTTTCAATACACAAAAAAAACGCCATTGAAGCTAAACGATAAAGACTTTTGAATATTTTCTAGTCCGACTTAAACTGTGTTTCTTTCAGCAATTTTCAAAACTATTAACCAAGAAAAACAGAACTATAAAAAATTAATTCTGGAAAAACTAACCTTTTATGATACACACACACTTTTTTTTTTTTTTACTTTTTCCTCATCTATATTACTACCAATTATCATGAAGTCTTATTCAATTAGCAGTTTTTACTACAGACAGTTTTTTGACTGAAAGCAGTGATCTCACTTATGTGCTCTCCCTCACGCACACACACACACAGGTTTGTTTTGCTATCTTTATGGGGCCTTTGCATTGACTTCCATTCATTTTTCATTAATTTCTATAGCCTAACCATGACCTTTATCCATAACCTAACCATTACCAGTACATACCTAACCCTAAACCTAACACATCCTCAATTCACACCTTAGTCCTAAACCTAGCCCCTAACCCACCAACGGGACTTCTTCTTATGGGGCCCGGGCTTTGGGCCCCATAAGGAGCAGTTGGTCCCCACAATGTAGTATAAGTTGGAAAAATGGGCCTCACAAAGTAGCATAAACAAGGACACACGCACACACAGAATAAAGGAAGGAAGTGTTATGGGGAACTTGTACGTTGTTTGTTTCGGTCTCAGTTAGTCACACTTGAATCCAAACTGTCCCAAATTACACTGTTTCAAAAACTCTTCCTGAACAGAGATTTCTATTGATCCGAGTAATAATTAACTCTGTATGTGAGAACTTACCAAACTACAACACTTTGACCTTAATGGACTGGTAACGTCAACAGTCTATTTAAAGGGATATACTGGCTAATTTGAAGTGAGGTTCTGATGAAACATAACCATTAATGTCTTACCTGTTATAGATAGCAAGAGTAGCACTACAGCTAAGCCACAGTTGGGCTGTGATCAACACTGACATCTTTGTTGTCTAGTTCCTGTATCTGGTTGGCTGTATCCAATGGTTCTGGTATGCATGTATGTACCATGACACTCCTGGTCATGGCTCTTTGAACAAATTCAGTTTGGAGAAACAGGAGTTTAAGTCTGACAGGACTGATGGGCTAACGACTAGCCTGAAGGCAGCTCACACAAAAACAACTTCAATGTTCAAAATGTTAGAGATTCATGCAAATGCTATTTTAAAGCTTTTACACTGCCATCATTTGTGTCATTACGCAGTTCTTTAGTCAGACTTCTTTGTTTATTTCATGCATCTAGTTGCGGCGGCAGCAATGTTCAACACTGCTGCTGTAGCCCCAGGGCACCTCAAGCAAGCATGTCATAAGATTTCTGCCAAAATAATTATTTATGGCAAAACTGAGGGCAATGTAAATATTTAAATAATAATGTTTGCATGTGCTTTTGTGAAATTTGAAGACTAAAGTTATTAAAAATGGCAACTATCCGCTTTGAAAATGGTTCAACTCAAAGCATGCTGACAAGCTCCTCTGAAATGGCCCACTTCTAAAATAAATCACAGTCGTATTAAAACAACTTTGATCCTGAGAGTTTTACAGAGGTCTATGAAAACATTATTTAAACCATTACAATGTCATCAATTTCACATTCCATAAATATTTTGGCAGAAACAGGAGGTAACTCTAGATGCCCCAGATGTGTTGCTGTTGTTGAGTAGCTGCTGCGTCTCACTCTTACAAATAACTAGAAATGTAGATAAATAAAATGAGAAGCTGACAACAGTGTAAATGTCTATGAAACAGCATTTGCATCAGCTGCTCAAAAAAATCAGAGCTTTAGCTCAACTTTACCGATAATACTAGAGCCCAACTGATCTAGGCTATGGGTAGGACTGATATTTTAGGCCGATATAGGTGTTTGGGGACATATTGGTATTTATTTTATTTACTGTTTATTTGATAGGGACAGATAGAAGAAACAGAGCAAAACAATCTAATGTCTGCATCACAGTGTATATGGCCAAAGCTAATTTGCAACACCCGTCCCTAGATGGGCCTTTAACAGTTGGTTAAATGAAAAGTTAAGATCAACAGTAAAAACCAAAGTGTAAAAACTTTAAAATAGCATTTGCATGAAACTCTGTCAACTGGCCCATTATGCGCCGATATAAACACTTCTAGTTTTCACCCTTAAAATGCTGGGAATGAGCAGTGTTTTTACTTGCAAATGGCATATTTGTACAATGTATCCAGCAGAGGGTGCATGAGGACTACTTTCAAGTCATGACCATGCTGAACACTTGACTCACAGCACAGCCGAGAAGAGACCCAAGAAACAGGGAGCAACTAAATACTGTGTAGCGTACTTTGCTGAACAGAGCATGACACATTTATTGTAACTGATTTGTAAAATAATGAACAATAATAAATTCTCTTCAATCCTCCAACCCGCTTGTCATTAGCTATGTGCCTCTCAAATAAGCAAGCTAACGTTTAGATCACCTAGCATAGACTATTACCTTTTAAAACTTTATCCAGAACAATAAATCTAACATAGAGGTAAAATATATCAGTGTTAGTAACATTATCTTTGTCGTCCTCAATGAAATTCATTGTCTAAAATCTTTACTTCTCTGCAAAAAAAACCAAAAAAAAAACCCAGTTGCTGCTGCCGTCAATACTAATTAGTCCTTCACCATACGTGACTGTTTAACAATGACCAGAGAAGGACATTTCTTTGTTTAATTTATATTTGTGTGACTCACTTGATAACTTTATGGCGAATAGTGGATAGAAAATGTGAACACGTTAGCAAGACTGTTTGAACACTTGAAGTGTTCAAACAGTCTTGCTGTTTACTTAGATTCTTCGTAGTGAACAAAGCTAAAAAATTTCAGCCAATATATCAGTTATCAGCATTAAGCCCAATATCGGTATCGACAAAAGCAAAAATTTCCATATCGGCTGGGCTCTAGATAATATCACCCTTTTTCTAATGCTCCTTTCCTCGTTTCCTGTTGTTACTGCCACTGAACACAAATCAATCACTCAACGATCACGTGTCAACACAACTGTTTATTTCTGTGGATCAGGAGAGCAACAAAACATTTTATCATGTGCAATAAGTGTTTTGGAATGAAGCTTTTTGGATGCTTCAAAATAAAACGTCTTTAAGCTCATTAAAGAGATAAAGGAAAAGAATCCTGGCTGACCTTTGCCCTCTTGATCTCCAGCACAGCCTCCAGGAAGTCTATGTCATCAAACTTCCTCACCATGGGCTCAAGCTCAATTAAACACTCTGAAAATGGTGACAAACACACGTTAGCCTAGCAAGACAAAGCATTCATCATCTGGTTATACTTTTCTTTCTTGTTTTGTGGTTTATGAACTACAGCTCCTCTGACCGGAGAAATGAGCAGAAACTTCCAGTAAACACTGATCTTATCAAAGATTAGGTTGGGCAACAACACTGTTACCTACAGTGTCTTCTATTTTTGGTGCACTGGGTTAGTGCCTCAGTGACAGTTTGTCAAGAAGCCAAAAGAGAAAGTTGCTACTTAGTGCTTGGTCAGAAAAAAGTCATGATTTTTCCTGTTCCTCAGCATGAAAACAAACATGGAAACATGGAAAACAAGCCAAGACAATCAAGTGCTCTGTCTCAAGCAGGTGGAATGTGTGATAAAGGATGGATTGTCTAGTTTTATATGCTAACCAGAACCTCTATCTAAGAATCAGAAAAACAAGTTCAGCTTGGTGGTTACAGTAACTGTTAGCGCTCCTGTTTATTTAGTTGTTACTGTACAGTAATCTTTGGCAACTGGTAGTAATTCTTCAAGACTAGGTACAAAGCTATGGTGTGTTAAGTAGTGTTGTATTTCTAAACTAACTTTTTCTTTAATAAAAAACAAAACAAAAACCAAACTGTCACATTATATATTTATATTGATTCAGAGACACAAAAAGTACTACATACTAAAGGCCTAGCATTCACTAACGGAAGTAGAGAGATGCAGCCATTTAGATCAAAGCTTAAAAAATGATGTTATGTGCAAAGTCATGCAACGTGTCACACTCAAAGTTATGTGTTTTTTATTTTGTTTTCTATCACTTCTTATTTTTACGTTTCATTTTATATACTTTCATATGAATGTTTATTGCTGTGTGTACCTCATCTGTGGTTTTTGTTTAAAACGGCTCTCTTGTAAAAGAGTCCTCGTGACTCAATGAGACTAACCTGGATAAATAAACATCAAAGTTCATGCTCAGTCATCCAGGTACAAAATCCAATAATGGTCAATCAGGTCATCTGGACAGTTTCTTTTTTGTGGAAAGACGTTTCGCCCTCTATCAGGAGGACGTCATCAGGTCCAGATGACCTGATTGACCCATTATTGGATTTTGTACCTGGATGATTGAGCATAAACTTTGATGTCTTGAACCACTTTGGCTGTGGCTGCCTGGGAGGAGTCGATGGGGACAGGACAGCCCCCAGAAACCATCTTATCATCAGCAAACTGGTTGGTCCACTAAAGGAGTGTACTGCTTAGTGGGGAAAAGTTTACTTGGGACTCCTCAGACTGATGAAGCCCTCCAAATAGAGGAAGAAACGTCTTCCCACAAAAAAAGAAACTGTCCATATGATCTGACTGGATAAATAAAGGTTGAATGAATGAATTTAAATTGGCTGCCTCAGCCATCTAAATTTGGATTACCACCAAAAGTTAATTACTTGTACATGTACATCCAATGACGACTTTCTGCAAGTTTCAGTAGAATCTGTTCCGTTCATGAAATATTTTGGCAACAGAAACACAAACACATGACCTCACAGACAGGCAAAAACCAGCGGCGATACTAAATTAGAAATCTGATCCAACGATGCAAAGACCATCTAGGAAACATTCACTCCAGGACATGAGCATCATCGTTCACAACATTAACAATTCATTTAAGAAACAGTGCTACCGTGTATCTATATGTCAATGAGCTGAGAAGATTTTTTTTAAGGACTGCTCCAGTTGTCAAATATTTTTGTGCAATTGTAACTTGTAACTACGGGTAACTCATAAACAATAGTGTTAACAAAAAAAAAAAAAAAAGGTTTGTAAGCTCAATCATCCAGGCAGATAAAAACAAAAAAGGTTAAATCAGGTCATCTGGACCTGGATCTTTAAGTGAGAAACGTTTCATCCCCCATCCAGAGGACTTATTCAGTCTAAGGCCTGCCAATCAGATCTGTTCCATAAGTAGCCTTCACTGCTGTGTTTCAAGCCAACCTCCTGATGGAATCTCATTAGTAGTTTTTAACACATGCAAATAGAGCCAATCCGTCCAAAACAAGCCCATCTGGCCTAAAACATTAGATTGTTGTACATGATGATTGATTGTTTTGGATGGGTGTATGTTTTGCAGGTGTTAAAAGCCTATTTTTGAGATTCTAACAGGTGGTTGGCTTGAAACACAACAGTGAAGGCTATCTATGGGAAAGATCTGGTTGTTAGGCCGTAGACTGAGGAAGTCCTCTGGATGGAGGATGAAATGTTTCTTCACTTAAGAAACTGGTCCAGATGACCTGATTTAACCTTTTTTTTTTTTAATAGTGTTAACAGTTACTACCTACCCCCAGAGAAAAATACGAGGGAAGCAGGACTTAACTGTGATGCGTGTAAAGCAGACCTGGTGGATGTGTATAGGAACTGTGTGATTCTTGACTGACCACAAACAAACTGGTGTGTTTGTTTGAACTTACTGAGGAAAGAAGGTCGTTCGTCAGGGTTAGCCGTCCAGCCGCAGGTCATCAGGCTGATTAGAGTCTCTCTACTGGGGATGTCGGCAGACAAATTCTCCAGGCTGGTGTCGGGACGATTCCCACGCAGCACACTGAACATGATCTTCATGGGATTGTTCACCTCTGAACACAGTAAATAAAACTCAGATCAACTGAACAAGGGCTACAAATCCATCATAAGATACAAGTGTGGTATAAATACATTACCTTCAAATGGTATCTTCCTGGACAGCACTTCCCACATAATTATGGCATAACTGTGATGCAGAAGAACGATACAGGTCAGGGAAGTTAAAGTGACATCACTTTAGATGGTATTCCCCTTTCAGAGTGGGGATTTTATGACGGATGACCAGAAAGAGAAGCTGCTTTAGGGAAGTGGGGTCACTTCCTGACAAAACTCTTTGAGCCAAAAGCTGAAAACTCTACAGGCAGATGTAATCACACAGCCACAGGGAAAAGTGGATTCATTTTATTTTTAGTGTCCAACAATCACCACTTCCTGTAAAAATTTTCTGAATGATATCATTACAAATGTATTTTTCTGGAACGATCAGCAGAAGATTAACCTTTAGCACACCTTCCTGCTGCGTTCTCTTTTGGCATGCCAACTACCTGACCCCACGCATGCCCATGGAATGACCCTGACAGGCAGGAAAACCTTTCACCACACACACAGTTACTATCAGTTTTTAAAAAATGGCATCCAGAGTTTGAACGAGTTTAGTGCTTAGCGTATTTTTAGTTTAACGTTTTTCTTAGTTCATATCTTAGATCTTATTACTGTTTTTCTTTTACATTTTATACTTTTGTTGCATTAAACTGGGATCCTGTGTACACACCTTCATTCCACCATATGCACCACATGTGGTGTGTATGACAAATAAAGAAATTTTGACTTTGACTTCGGACTGCTGACACTGGAGTACGATGGAGGTTGTATTTATAGTATGAGAACAACACATAAAATAGGAACTGAGCACAAAAATAGGAATTGATCAAGAAGACCTACAGTGTGAACGTACCAGTAGTCTAATTCTAATAACTGCTGCTGGGTTCTGTTACCTGTACATGTCATGCTTCACATCTGCTCGTCGGTTCTTGGATGGTTCGTACTCCTCGGGGGGCATGTAGATCACTGTGCCCTCCATTTCTGTGGGCTTGGACCCAGAACCTTTACTGACAGACAGCTGTCGCCACTTAGAGAGACCAAAGTCTGCGATCTGGAGAGGGGATTAGCAAACGATTAGCAAGCCATCGAGACCCAACACACATCAGTAATTTGTAAATTTTCTTCTGTTGATTACAGATAATCACCATCCACACTGATAGACTTCTGTGAACGCAATTCACAGTCACACAATCAGTTTGTGTGTCTGAAACATACCTTCACATGAAACTCGCCATCCAACAGTATGTTCTGCGTCTTTAGGTCATGGTGTAAGAGAGGCGGGGTCATGTTGTGAAGGAAATTTACCCCGAGGGCGATCTCATACAGAATCCTCAGGCGCAAAGGCCAGCCAAGGATAGGGTACATTTCCTTCTGCAGATGAAAATATATCAGTAAAATTGGAGAAAATTTGCTTCGTGGCCTTTTAATTTAGTGATGAAAGAGACAGCCAGGGGCACAAGCAGGGATTTCCCCAAACACTGGTGAGCTACTGTTCACTCTGATGTTCCAGACTGGATGCTTCAAGGTTTTGCTTTCACTTTCTGTTTTACTTAGAAGAATCACATGGAAAACTGCCCCAAGTCATGGAAGTGATGCACAAATAAAACTTACAGTAAAGGCAGCACGTCAATCTGACCTCACCCATTCTGACAACAGATGTGTAAAACAGGAAGTGTGTGCGTGATAAGAAAACCTGTGCAGCATGTGAAACTTAATCCTTATGTAATCCCTATGATTGTTCATAGTCGTCTTACTGGAACCTGAGAAGTTCTTAAAGTAAAGTGTCTTGTTGCATGTGCGAACCTCGTGGAGCAGCAGATCCATGGATCCATTGCTCATGAACTCGGTGACTATGCAGAAGAACTCGGGTTCATTGCAGATACCAAAGATCTGGATGATGTGGTTGAACCTGGCTTTATGAAGGACCTCAGCCTCCTTCAGCAGGCATTTCCTCTCTCTGAAAAACAGCGAGTCCCGGTTAATCTTTGCCCTTAGACGGCAGTAAAAATACCACAAACACGAACGTTTTATTGTTGAAGAAGCAAAAGAAACGTGCATGATAAACAAAACCATTGAGGCTGCCTGACACTTTCAAAATAACTTTACAGTTTCAACATTTTGAACATTACATGTTAACACAAGATGGAGTTTGTTTGTAGAAAAGTCAAGCTGATGTTTTAAAGACTTGCACGACACAGTAAAGTAATCATTAACACTTTAAATACTCATTTTGTTTGTTGGAGCCATTTACTACAAAACGATTAAAAAAATCTGCAAGCATGTGCACAATGAAAATGAATCTTAAAGTGCAAATGTTTTGAACATTTGTGAAAAACACTTTAAATGTGTAAAACTGTGAAGATTAGGGCTGATGCTGTCGTTATCTAGAAACACCCGTCACAGTCTGACAAACCTCTGAGTCCATCTGCTGATATAACTTTTGTATCTGCAGATGTTCGTCAGGATGGAGCACTTACACATGCACAGATACATTTGATCAATTTACGTCTCTTTAATGTGGACGGCTACAAAATAAACTTATTTATAAGAAATCTTGCATGGTTAAAGGTACTCATTGTCAAGTTATTCATATTCAAAACCAAACAACGAACAATATATGTAACAAATCCTGCACATTTTTCTCATACTGATAATCGATGTGCATAAATTAAAAATCTGTAAGCAAAATTTGTGACCGGACGCCAACTATCACGTGTTTGTTTACCTGTGCAAACAGATAGACTGAAAATAGGTCACAGAAAAACTTGCTGATCCTCAAAACGCAACGTGTTTAAATGCCGAGCTCTGTTTTTATGATGCTCCACTGTCCTGCCTGGTCCCTGAAAATTACTCTCAACATTTACTTGACTCCATCTGTGTCTTTTCTTTTGAATTTAGTGCCAGACTCACTTGTAATTTACCACCTAAATGTCTGAGGTTTTTCCAATAAATATTTGGTTACACCATCACTACAGCTAAATGTAGGTGAAGCTTTCCCTGGATTCTGGGGGAATCTTTCTACACATTGGACAATAAAAATTAATCCCGCACTTAAACACTTTGTTTCTGTCAGCACCTGACCTGTTTAGACCTTAATTGTTGGTACTTCTATATTCTCTGTGACTTTTGTATCTTGTGTGACTTCTTGTTTATGTTTCATTGTATTGAAAGTCTGGCACAACAATTTCCTGCAGGATCAATAAAGTTCTTTCTGATCTGATCTGATCAGTCAAGTGCTTTGTTTTACACACAGTGTGGACTCATATTCCAGAAGTGCTCATCACTGTATCTGGAAAACTACTCAAGTAAACTCTTTCAAGCTGCACTATTTGATAACTTCAGGATAACTTTGTTTGATTTCAAATTTTGCAGTGAGTACTGTTACATTGGCATGACATCATCATCATCATTATTATTCTTTTGGCTTTTCCCTCTTCAGGTGTCACCACAGAGAGTCATCCTCCTCCATCTCTCTGTCCTCACTCCAACTACCTCCATGTCCTCTCTAACTGCATCCATGTTCTCCTCTTTGTCTTTTTCCTGGCAGCTGCATTTCTAACATCCTTCTACCAGTATACCCACTGTCCCTCCTCTGGACATGTCCAAACCACTGTCCCTCCTCTGGACATGTCCAAACCATCTCAGTCTGGCCTCTCTAACTTTATCTCCCAGTTGTTCAACCTGTGCTGCATCTCTGATGATCTCATTCCTAATTTTATCCATCCTTGTCACTCCTAAGAAGAACCTCAACATCTTCATTTCTGCCACTTCCAGTTCTTTCTCCTGTCTTTTTGTCCATGTCTCTGTCTCCAGTCCATACAATATAGCTGGTCTCACCACTGTCTTGTAAACTTTTTCTTTGACCTTTGCTGACACCCTCTTGTCACAAATCACTCCTGAAACTTTTCTCCATCCACTCCATCCTGCCTGGACTCTCTTTTTCACCTCTTTACCACACTCCCCATTTTCCTGGACAGTGAACCCCAAGTACTTGAAGTCCTGCACCTTTGTGACCTCTGCTCCTTGTAGCCTCGCTGTTCCACCAGCCTCCTGCTCATTCACACACATGGACTCTGTCTTACTGCGGCTGACTTTCATTCCTCTTCTTTCAAGCGCATACCTCCACCTCTCCAATTTCTCTTCCACCTGTTCCCTGTTCTCATCACAGATCACAATGTCATCTGCAAACATCATAGTTCATGAGGATTCCTCCCTGACCTCATCTGTTAGTCGGTCCGTCACCAGAGCAAACAAGAAGGGGCTCAGAGCTGATCCTTGATGCACTCCCACCTCCACCTTGAAGCTATATGTGACTCCTACAGCACATCTCACCACTGTCCTGCTGCTGTCCTTAAATTGGCAGGACTGTTTACCAAATAATGGAGATATTTACTGAAAATAGTCTAAGCAGATGACGGAGATCAAGGTACAACATTTATTGGACGTCTGTACGCCAGATATTTAGTTCAGCTTGAAATCTGTTCTAGTTTTCATGTTGATCTTTGGGTAAAACACAGTTTTGTTAACTCTACCGTGTGACATCATCCAACAATGCAATGAGGTCAAGTGTAGCCTAAATTTACACGGTCCATCTTTTTCTCTACAAACGCACTCCTCGTGGTCTGAAGTGTCATGTGGACGGTACCTTTCTCCCACAGAGTCGAGCTTCAGGCACTTGATGGCCACGGTTGTCCTCCAGTCGGAGTGCTGCGCCTTGAACACGGTGCCGAAGCCCCCCCTGCTCAGGTAGTACAGGTCCGTCAGCTTCTGGTACGGAATCACCGGCAAAGTGCTCGTCAAGCTGCCGATGTTCACACAGCCCGCGGCTCCGAGCGGTTCCATTAGCAGCCTTTTTCCCGAGAGGTATCAAACTGGGTCAGACTCCGGCAGACAGCGGAACTCTGTCTATTTTGGTCAACACAATGAGGAACGGCGGCTCTCCCATTTACTGCCAAAACGTCGCGGCTGCTGTTAGCAAGGTTTGCTAACGTAAATATATAAAGGACGACGGCCGAAGGAGAGCGCTCAGTACACGGTTCCCCCTCTTCTACTGGCAGCAAGCCTCGCGGCTGAATATGTTCGCTTTCACTTCTTGCTCTGCTGGCAACATAACCGTGAAAAGATGAGTTTAGCCTGGCCGTTACTGAGCGGCTGCCGAGCTCCGCGGTTATTTAAGCTCTGTGGTCTGACGCAGCCAATCGCTGCACACCTCCGTGATGCGTTCATAGTCATCGGTTTTTAGAGTTTCAGGAAAATAAAATTTAGTTCTTAGAATTTATTTTATGTTGGTTTGAGCAAATATACAGATATTTAGGACGAAAATTGATGGTTTGATATGTTTTGTGAATCATTATCCTTTCCGTAGTAGGTCTAATATATATATTTTGTCTCAGTTGCGTTTGAGGACTAAAATTCTCGTTTGGCGCAGACGTAATCTGGGGTTTTTCAGACGTGGGAATTACCCGAAACTGGGAGATTCCTTTAAATGCACCAGTTCAAAAACGTATACGTTTCAGGGTTTGTTTACTTTCACTCCAAATGTTTGCATCATTCACACCTTTTAAACCAGAATTTTAGCATTAGGATTTAAAAATAAAAAATAACAGATGTATACTTGTAAAAAATAATAAGGAAATAGTTATGAAATGTTTAAATTCACTGGAAGCACTAATATCAGTCAAAAGGCATCCTTTAACGAACTGAACACACAAACACAAAATGTACAATATTTTGCTGTCATTCTAATTGATTACATTAACAAACAACTATTGAATTAATCTTTAAAAACTTGTTGTGTTCTAAAGATGGTAAGATGAGGAGTTTTGAAGAATTAAGAGGAAAATATCAACTGGAGAAAACTGACTTCTTTCGATATTTGCAGCTCAGAGACTATTTTTGAGGGAAATACAAAGCTCTCAAACATCATATGGCTTTTGGTTAGGTGATTAAACCTACAAAGGGATTCAGTTCAAGGAAATAACACCATTATAGAAAACTCAGAGGAAGGACACACCAAGCTCAACCACATGATTCTTCATTACACCAAAGATAAAGAGTAAACAAACCAAGCCGTTTTGGAGAATGTGTGGAAATAAAGAAGCAAGCCATACACATATATTCTGGGAATGTCAAACATTAGATTTGTATTTGTGAATTGTGAATACTGCCCAAACTATTTTGGGGTACCAAATATCAAAAGATTTTAAAACAATGTGTCTGGGAAACATAAAAAAAAAAGTGATTTGAATGAAGATGTACTTGATTAACATACTGTTAATTGCCTTCAAAAAAAGCTATAACAAGAAACTGGTACCAGATATCTGCTCCCTCCATGCAGCAGTGGCTAAATATTGTTAGGGAAATTGATGAGATGGAGTGAATGACTTTCCTTCTTAGGCAAAAAGAAGACATTTTTATGAATAAGTGGGTAAAATGGGACACAGTACGACACTAAAAAAGAGACATGAGGAAATTCAACACCATTAACAGAAGAATTTCTAGAGCCTAGACACCGAGATTTATTCATTTATTTTGATATGTGTATATATATATATATATATATATATATGTATATTCTTCTTTCGGCTGCTCCCTGCGTTAGGGGTCGCCACAGTGAACTAAGTCGCACGAAGACTTGGCAGTTATTTTTACGCCGAATGTCCTTCCTGTCTGACACAACCACAGACACCGAGCTACCACATCCCTCTGTGTGGAGCAGAGAGCTGCCATCTAGGACACCCGGAGGAGCAGATGGTGGGGGTTAAGGGTCTTGCTCAAGGGCCCAGAGTGGGGCGAATGAGGGTGGGGACAGGTGTGAGTTCTTCACCTACCCCACCCATATTTTTGATGTTGTCGGTACCGGGCTTGAACCGGCGATCTTCCGATCACAGGCCCACCTTCTCTAGCCTCTGCGCCATCACTCCCCAATTTGTATTATATATACACAAAGAGTACATATATTTATTTTGGATGTTCACCCCCTTATGTTTTGTGAATTATTACTGTAAAGACAAGCCTGCTTAGGCTATCATAATCTGGAAAATGTATGCAATATATCTTTTAAATGTCATCTACTGTTGAAACTGTTAATAAAAATTAAAGTGGAAAAAAACCGTAGTGTTCAAATGAATTGAATTAGTGCTTGTTTTACTGTATCAATGAAACAGGAAATGTGTTGTTGTTTTTTTTAATTCCGAAGAAAAATGATATTGCCTGAACGTATGCTGCAATCAGAAAACACAGTGTATAGTCTACATTTTATTTTTTTAATCTTACATGGATGCTTACGGTCCTAACTCTTCAGAATAAACCAGGTGACAAACATCTGTTAAAGTTGGTGCAGACTGTTGGGAAAAACAAACATGAAATCTTGGTGCAAAGCTTCAGCCCAATCTGGAGAACTCAAAGTAGATTTTGGTCCAATCTGTACTTTAACTGGTGACGCAGTTGTAGTGAACCTGATGACCTGATGATCTGACCCTTATCTGACCCTGATGACCTCAAATCTACCAGATGGACAGAGACTGTTATTTTCATTGATCTGAATAAGTCTGAGCCATCTGATGACTTTCTTTCTTGAATTAATCAAGCAGAAAAGACAATCCTCTATAATCATTACTGTCTTACAAATGTTTTGATAATCAAATTGTGTTAGTTTCACTCAATGCTTACAGGTTGAAAAGAACTACTCATTTTTATTTTACATAAACAGTAAGTAATGATTTTTATTCCTCATTCAAAGAAGAAATCACCTGAATATGCATTTCTTGATTTTCTGTCTGAAATGAGCCAAGTCGTAAGTATGTGAAAGTTGAAGCTTCGGTCAACTAAATGTTTACTGAAGAAGAAATGTCATGTTTAACTATTTGAGAAGATAATCAGAATAGAGACTCCACGAAGTCTGCTTTTTGCAATAATCTCTCTGTCAGTTGTTAAACAAATCTCATTTCCTGACCTCGACTTTTGATAATACCTTACGTCAAAAACCACACCTCTTTCTGGTACATCCACGAATCAGAAAGCTCTAAATTGAACCGGAAGTCGACCCATTTAAAATGTGGCAACTTTCCAGTTCAAGTTAGTTCTGAGAGTTGGAAGAGTGCTGGAGCGGTTCTCATGTAGTTCGGAAGCAGTTCTGAAGCAGTGCTCAAGGAGTTCTGAAGAGAATTGGTTAGAATTCATGGAGAATGGTGAAGTGAATGGAAGAGAATTCGAGAATTCAGGAGAGTCAGAGACGTTGGAATTATAACTTCTGTTTGAACAACCCACGCACGACTATCTAAGGATTTCAGCAGCTCTCAACGGAGACGCTGAAAGGTCTGGAGGACTCTCTATCGAGCTGATCTATCATCAACAAGGTAACGGTCTCTTCTTCGACTAAAGTGTACCGGAGGCGAGCTGAAATCTGATGAAGCGTGCACGTTCTGGTCAACAGATATTAATTCTCTCACATAGTTCTCTGTAAGATAATCTCCATTTCATCTTAAACTCTTCTCTCTCTCACAAAACTAGTACAGATATTTTAGAAATATCTGAAGCAAAGTCCTCAAATCACCGCCGAGTGATTTGAAGTTCATTATTTGTGAAACTGTCTGTTATTATTTTCATATTTTGCCAAATTAATGTAAATGTTTGATGTTAAACTTTGATTCTGAAAATAAATGACCACATTCATTTGATGGGTCAAAGATAATAACGTCTCTCGTTCGCATTTCTGTTAAATTCAATGCACGGCATTACACAGTCAGAAAGATGAGGAACTCGTGAATATAGTATGCATATAAACGGGGATATATTGTCATACTACAACTAGTGACACGTACCCACGTGACTCACTACACAGTATTCCTGGAATGTGGTTTGTATCCAGCAACACTTAGCTTTGAGTTTGAATTTAATTACTTTGGCCAAGAGTTTCTGATAAGGTTACATTTGTTGTGGCTACTTTTAGAACTGTAGGTGGGACACATTCATCTAAATACATTAAAATAGAACATAGTTTATATATTTTTTAAATTTATATTTGATGTAAAATGATTTTTTTCTGTGTTTTTGAGCCAAAACAACAACAAAAGAAACAATGTCTTGATTTAAATATAAAAGAAGCATGATGACTCAGAAAATATTGGCAAGTTCACACATCTCTGCTCTGAATCAAGTAACTCCTCGAGCAACGATCGAGCAGAATAACCTCTCATGTCCAGGCGCAAAAAGGCCAAAATCCAAACTTACATATATGTTTTTTTACAAATAATAAAAATGTGGGAAACTGATAGATCATATGAAAAAGAAAGGTTTATATTGTTTTCATGATTTGTAGATAATTTAAGCCCTTTGTGCAAAATATATATATTTATCCAACATAAATATGATTACAAGTATTTACAGTGTCAGCAAACTGAATACGTCCGTGTCAAACAGGGTCGGCGCGCTGGATGTGTTTGGTTTGTAGAAACAAGAAGTTCCTCCTGTCTGTCATCACATGACTGTGTCGTCCTGCAGTAATGTGAAACCTCTGTGGAGGAAAGTGCGTTGACTAAACTCCACTCCCCTGATTAACTTAAGGATGTTTGATAAGTCAGCAAAACGATGAACCAAACTATTTTTTGAAGGATTTGGGTGACAAACATAAGTTAGAACCAAAGAAACGTTCTCATAGAAGCTCCAGCATGTCATGTTTTCCAGCTCTGATCCACACAGCACACTGATCAGGTGTAAAGACACCCAGTGTGTGTTTCTACACACTTCTGTGTAAGAGCGTGGTAAAGAGGAACACCAAGTTCACATTTAGACCCAGCAGTTTTTATCAGTATGGTGCTGCAGCACAAATTCACTCTGATGACCTCACTGCA